GCATTCCTTCCCTCCAGGTTATCAACTGAACCACACAGCTTGGTGTCATTGGCAAACTTGCTGAGGGCGCACTCAATCCCACTGTCCATGTCACTGACAAAGATGTTGAACAAGACCGGTCCCAACACCGATCCCTGAGGGACACCACTCGTTACTGGTCTCCAGCTGGACATTGAGCCATTGACCACAACTCTTGGTGTGCGGCCATCCAGCCAGTTCTTTATCCACCAAGCGATCCACCTATCAAATTGATGTCCCTCCAATTTAGAGACAAGGATATTGTGTGGGACAGTGTCGAACGCTCTGCACAAGTCCAGGTAGATGACATCAACTGCTCTACTCTGTCCATCAGTTCCATAGCCTCATCATAGAAGGCCACCAAATTGGTCAGGCAGGATTTCCCCTTCGTGAAGCCATGCTGGCTGTCACCAAGCACCTTGTTGTTTTTCATGTGCCTTAGCATGACTTCCAGGAGAATCTGCTCCAAGATTTTGCCAGGCGCAGAGGTGAGACTGACTGGTCTGTAATTCCCCAGGTCATCCATTTTCCCCTTCTTGAAAATGGGGGCTACATTTCCCTTTTTCCAGTCATTGGGAACTTCACCTGACTGCCATGATTTCTCAAATATGATGGCCAGTGGCTTAGCAACTTCATTTGCCAGCTCCTTCAGGACCCGCTCATGGATTTCACAATTTATTTTCCTGAATGCTCATTCAGAAACTGCCTTTGCTCATCATCCTGTCTGTTGCCAGCAGATTCACTGTTCCGTTCTGACCCAGGGAGTAAGATACAGCCTCAGCCAAGGGATGAAATTCCCAGGTACACTGCTACATAGGGAATTTGTAGGCAAACATCAACAATCGCATTTGGTTGGCAAAGTTGGAGTGTAAAGCACTTATGCAATACTATGCAGCTTTCTAATTGCTGGGAAAGCCTCAATCTTGCAGAGTTTTGTGTGATTATTGCAAGAAAAATCATGCTTGGAGTTTTCATGTGTGAAAAAACAAAAAGCATCTCACATTCATAGGTAGCAAGTAGCTGTAAATTATTGTTGCACCTCATTCCAGTCAGCTGCAGAAAAGTTGCCTGGTACTTAGGAATTTCTAAACTACATTGACTACATTTACACCTCATTACCTTTTTCTCCTGTTGCCTTGTGACCATGGGCCCCTGGGTAGGGATCCTGGGGGTGCACAGAGCAGGTAACGGGCGATTTGATCAGCAATGGTTAGTATATGCTCACTGGAAAGCCAAACCTTGTCATACATGGCAAGGCCTGTGACTGGGTGATGTTGGCTGTCTATATGTCTCTTGTAGGCATCAGCACTGGCATTGCCTGGCAAGCTTAGGGGCAGGATTTGGATAGAGTTGAGGCTGCGCAAGGAGGTCACTCACAGCAGGTACTCATGCAGCACCTGGTGTGAGTGGGTGGCTTTGAGGGGCAGTGGAGGGAGCATGAGCAGACCCTGCATGACCAAACCCAGAGCTCATGGCACTCAGCTCTGAGGTAGCCTTGGGATTTTCTCTACTTGAGTCTCTGGCAGATGATGCTCTTTAGGGGAAGGTGACGGGCAGCAAGGAAGGTTTGCTGCCGAGAGCATGGCTGGTGCTCTCCCAGCACCCCTGGCCCTGAAATCACTGAGGATAAAAGAGGGCCTGGGATTTGCACAGGTTACAGCTTCAGTCCTCCAGTGATTTGTCTACTACCTTATGGGATAAAGTTCTGTAAAAAAATAAGCCCTCAAATTTACTGAGTATTATCATAACATGCTGATGCCATCTTTATCCAATAAATAGCACCTGACATATCGTAACAGGCTGGCTCCATCAGTGTCATTCTAAGCCCCCAAACTATGCAATATCACCTGGTTTACTTGTAGGCAAAACTTCTCAGTCACATCAAAACTGTGGGTGGTGGCATTTGACTTCTAGCCTCACCAAAATACACTCTCGGGCCTGATTAGAGAAAATTCATGAATTCAAAGTTTAAGGTGATTTCTGTCATAATGTTTTCAAGTTTACTAAGGATTTAAAGTGTAATCGATGTAAATCCTTTCTGAAGCCCACTGTGCTGAGAGTCAGTGTTCCAAAGGTGTGCCATAGCAGCTGACTCACAGATCTGATATGTCTCTTTTTAGAGAGATCCCACAAATAATTCCCAACATTTTCGGACAAACTCAAGCTGAAGTTTACACTCTCTAAAGAAATAATATGTGATTGTATTGCTTACAGCAAAACATCAATTTTTCTGGTTCTGTTTTGTTTATTTCGGATATGCAACGGTAGCTTCTGTATCAGACTTCCCTTGTTCTTAAAAGCAAAAAATAGTTTTAAACAGAGTATCCTGGTAGATTACCCAGATTTAGGGCAGAAATATCCTGCAGTGATTAGAGCTCTAGCTAACCCAGGTGTGAATTTACAGACTGAGAATTACTTTTGAAGTTTTCTATACAGTGCACTACAAATGCCATTAGCACACTGTTGTTCATTTTGACTCTTACTGTTACTGTACTCTCCTAAAGGGAGGCTTTTCACAGGTTTAATTTACCTTTTTAATCCAGTATCTCCCTTTGATGTAGGTGATGTGAGTTACAGGGTAAATCTTCCTATTTAAAATGCTCAGTAGCTGTTGAATAGTATCTAATGAATAAAGTCCTTCTAAGGAATAGTATTCAGTGAGATCAGACATATGGTGAGGAAAGGCCACTCTCCACTCTTCCCCTCTTACTTTCATGCAAGGAAGGGAAAAAAACAATGTGCTACAATGCCTTTCAGGCCAGGAAGTTTTAGAAGAACTAGAAATTAAGGCTTCCAAAGCAAAACAAGCATTTCAAAGTTTAAAGCACAGTTTAGGCAACTGTCTAATTAGCTCCTATGAATATTGCCTTTTTTTGAGGCAAACTATGGTGCAGTGAGTACTGGCAGTGATGCACAAGCTGGGCAGATTCTTTGAACTAAAGACATCCCAGAATGAAGTACCTCTTCAACGACACCATGGGGTTGGGTCTAACCTGTGGGGCTGAGCCCCCCAGCCACACCACTTAGTGCCTGTCTGTGCTATAGGCTGCTCAAGACTGAGCAGTGCTTTCCCCACCTGCAAATAAAACAGATGTAAACTTAGCAGAGCTTTCAAGGTGTTGAGGGAGGCAGAGGAAGCAGAGAAAGGCTCTCCCAACCCTTGGACTACCACCTCCTCCTCCACCACTTCCCAGCCCACCCTGCGCTAGGACCGGAGATGCTCAGCTCACAAGCAGGCTGATTTAGCACCACTAACACATGCTCAGCCCCAGGGAGATTTAGAGATTAATTCAGCATTTTGTGAGTGGGATGGAGGTGGTCATCACTGTCCTGGTGGCTGGGGGCCCATGCTGAGAGCTGCCTACCATGTCTGTCATTGCTTGCTCCTCCTCACAGCTTTTGCTGTCCTGATCAGGGTGGCTAGCCAACCACCAGGTGAGGCAAAGCCTCCCACAACAGCTCTAGGCATGGCACCCTTGCTTTTCTAGTTAACAGAAGACAAGTAGCATGCAGGAGCCCTTCCCAGACAGCAGAAATCCCAAACAGAGTCCTCTACATTTCATAAGAATAGATAAACATGTCTCTTGTTCTTTCTTTGGCTGCCCCATGGCTGCCAGGTGCTGCTTCCTCAGGAGCCTTCCCAGGGCTTAGGACAGCCACCTCTGAGTGATTTCCTTCCAGTATGAAGTAAAAGGTATGCTCAGATGCCAGCACTTGGCACCTCTGAGGACACACCCAGAAATGGCCTTGCTTGGGCAACCAATATCACATTTCCCTTTTCTTGTACTTCAGTAATACTTCCGTAGGAATTATCTAAGTGGAGTTTTATCCAGGGAAAGCTTTTAAAACTAACCCCTCTCCTTCTGCAGCACTTATACTGGAAGACATCAGCTCTTAGAAGAGGAGGGGACAGGCAGCAGAGGCAGGACATTCTTCAGCATCCCTGTTTAAATCACAGCCTGCCTCATGCAACACATGAACATTTGTGGTTTTTTGATTCTTGTTTGTGGCTATATAGGTCGTGTTTCCTCATGCAGTTGAGTAATAGTCTTATGGCAGCTTCAGGACCTGTGCAAGTTTCTCTTCTTCAAAATAATGCAAAATAATGCTTTCAGTGGAGCTTAGGCTCCAGAAACAAGAGAGAGCTCACGCTACGTGACTAGACAGCATTATGTGAACCATCTGCAAGTACTCTATGACCCACAAGCCACAGTTTAAAACTTCTTATGCAGAGCTGACTGTACAAAATACTTACTGGAAAGAAAAATATACCAGAGTCTCCATATTCTATTCACAAACAGATAGCTAACAGTGTAGTGTGGTGATCAGATTTGTAAATCAGCCACAATAATAAAAGAAAATATAGATTTCCAATGCTTCTAAGGTGTTATCTTTTATTTTAACCTCTGCAAAGATTTAGTATGCCTTTGGGTGGCACAATAACTCAGTTTATAATAGCTTAAAGAAAAATTGTAATTTAATATTAAAACTGTCACTTTAATGCAGAAGCTATTGGAGCTAAGTTAACTCTCCTTAAAGTTTGGGTGATGACCAGAATTACTAGATTTTATTAATGGCACTGCTTTTAAATAACTGTATAACATTAACTAATAACCTTATCACTCAGTGCATTTGGTGTACTTGATAATGTGCATCTAATTGTGGGTGCATAATTCACCTATTAAATACTGAGAATGGCTTGATGTTTGTAAATCATAACAAGACTTCAAATTGGAATACAGAATACAATTTATTAGTGAATAGCTACCCATTGTTTCTGTATACAACTTGGATTTCCTTCAGTCAAGTATTGTCTTGATTTCTATTTGTGGAGTGAGGAAACAGAAAACCCCCTCTAAATGTGAAAGAACCAAATTGTGAATATTCATGTGTCTCTTTTGCTAGTATAACTTCAACAGCATGACATAGTACACTCTGGCATTTTTTCTCTCATTTTGCCAACTGCCAGCTTTGTATTTCAGATCAGATGCCTTGCAGTTGGGTCTTTTACTTTGATTCTGCACAGCTATGAAACTGGGAGACTAGCTGGGTGTTTGGAATAACCAGTGAAGATGAGTACCCACGTTCATTTTTAAATAGAGTGTGAGTACTTAATTCTATGATACTTTTTTTTGATCTATGCAAGGAGATACTTTAAAATTGTAACCCACAGAATTCTCCTGATACTCCCATAATCAATCTCCATTTGCTTCACCTTCAGGTGTTGGCTAGCAGTAAACCATGGGCAATTTCAAAGGGCATGCCCTCCCTGGAAGCTTTTTCCTTCTTTTTGGCTTGTGGTGGTCAGTGAAGTATCCACTGAAGTATGCCTGTCGAAAAAACAAGAATGCTTGCTACCTTGGTTCCAGGGCAGGATTTCAGCACCTGGAGTTTGTAGAGGGGATCATCAAAGCTGTCTTTGCCCTGATCGGTAAGTAAGGTGGGCTGACAATGAAAATGCTATGTCTTTTAACACTTTTTTTTTTTTTTCCTGATAAAACATCTCATTGTGTTTTGGTGTTTTGTCTTTTAAACACCAAGAATCTAAGAACTAGTGGGGCTACTGCTATTAATTACACATTTATGATGATAACAGGGTTTCCATCCATAGCACTCTTCTGGAGCTGTGTCTCCTGACAAGTTCACAGCTGGTCCGAGTGTTCATATGCTGTTCACTACAGGGAGGGAGAAAAGATATTTAGGCAAGGGGCTCTCACATGCAGACTGGGAGCACCAGACTGTGGGGGCATTGCTTTTCTGTTTTGAATCCCACCATCTTAGATATCGGTAGTCTCCACTGAGTTATTGGTAAAATATGTAAATGCAGATGCTTCTCCACTGGTGTCATTTAAAGTGAAAATATTCACAAAGAAAGACTGAACTCCAGATGTTATAGCTGCAGGACTTTTGCAACAGGGTGCTGGTGGTGGCCTGTTTCTCCTTCTGTTGTGGACTGGCCTGGGTACAAAGCCACAGGGATGGTTTAGTGGGTTTTGCAGCCAAGTGGAAGTGCTTAGTTCTTGTTTATGTTCCAGCAGGCTGTATGTTAGCAATTTATCTTTCTAGAATAAGTAAACTAAATAACAGGGGGCCTGGGGAACTCAGCACATGTAGCTTTCAAGTTGAAAAGGATCTTAATTTTTAGTATTACTAGATTTTTAGATTCTATCTGGCTATTGTTTTTTAGATGCTCAGAGTTGCTTGGTTTTTGATCAAGGTGCAGGCTGTGCCAAAATCTTGTTCTTGCTCTTCTTCAAGATCAGCTCTGAAGAGATACTGTGTGTACAGTACTTTGATATGCCTTAAAAAAATTATCAAAACCTAAATAATAGCATTCATTTTGAGGTGTGAGTGGGGACGTCTTTCGTACAGATCTCCCAGTCAGTGTCTAGAGGTAGTTGGGTGGCTAAAGTACTCATTTAGCCTTTTTATTTTCACCATGAAACAAAAAAAAATGTTATTTTAACGTATGGTAATTTCAGTTCACAAACACGGACAAGAAACCCTGGTGAAGACAAAGAGTAAAAGTAGCAGAAAGAGTAAACCCTGTTGTTTCTGTGTTAGGAAATTTGAAATAAAGGTGGAAAAGTATTGCATTTGGACTGCAGCGTATCTACTTATACAGCATGATGCTGGCCCGTGCTTTGCAAGCAATGTATTTAACTTTGAAGTTTTAAAGTGTAACACGTTTTAAATCCTTCCCAAGCTTCAGTGATATAAAGTATCTAAACGCAGCTTTCCTCTTGCTGGAGTACTGCAGCTATTTAGTAAGACGCTGAGGGGGCCAAGGTAAGGGAGGCAATGGCGCAGCAATTCAAATACTAACTTGGTATACATTCTCATGGGACTTTTAATAACTGTATAGTGGAGGGATTTCCTTTTATGGCTTTATAGGAAAAATCCCCTTTGAACTAAGATTCTGAACTCTGCCATCCTGCACACTGTAGGGGACTGAAACGGTAAATCTTTCTTTTGGGGACTTCAGCATGTGTTACACTCATGTTTGAACCACAGGAGAAGGCAGATGAAAAATTCAGTTAGAGGACTACTACAATAGCAATTGTTAGGACAAAAAACCCAGCACAGAATAGCTGGTCACTGCTGGAAACTGCAGGATGCAGATAGTCCAACCAGGAGCAGAGATGAAGCCTGGTTTTCCCTGGCTTTCTCTTCTCTGAATTATGTGATGCTTAATATATGCTCTAGCTCACTCTGCAGTCTTCCCATCAGCAAAGCAGCTTATTTCATCTCTCCTCCACCCACTGCCTATTTTCTTGTAAATTTATATAAAATTAATATCTTTGAGACCTCTGTGAATTTTCACTTGAATTTGGACATGTTAAAAACTTTATTGCAAATGGCTGAACTGGGCAGAAGGGAGGAAAACGTAGCAATCACCCAGAGCAATCCTCAGGCAGCCAAACTAAATCTCAAATTGACCAGTGTTACGCTGCATGGGAATATATCGTTTCCTCTATTGTTTGCATAAAGACTTATCATCACCTTAAGCATCAGGACAAAAAGTTATACTTTTCATTTCGTGTGCAGGAATGGTGGCTGAGCAGTTTGTTCCTGATGGACCTCATCTGAAGCTCTACAATTATGAGGAAAAGCACTGGGATCACCTCATGAACTGGCAACATGCCACCATGTACCTCTTTTATGGCATATCAGGGTTGGTTGACATTGTGGCTCACAGGACCAGTGCACTGCCTGTGGCCATGGACAAGATGATGCTTTCTTTAGCAGTGTTTATTGAAGGTCAGTTTACCTCTTCCTGCAGAAGTGTGTGCGAAACTTGCACAGGGGAATGCGTCTTGGGTCTCACATCAGTCTTAGAGAATGAGCCTGCAGGAGCTGAGTGTTTAACTCTCTAAAGTGCCTAAGAAAGATCAGTCTTGGTCCTCCTTAAACTGCACTGCAGCCCGGAGCATGATCACACATCCTAGAGGTGTATCTGTGCTTCCCAGCTGGCTTAGATAGCAACAGAAATGTTATAAAAATAGCAGCACAAGCCTGTTTTGAATAAGTGCTCAGTAGCTCAGGTATGTGCTTCAATGTATGTACAGACATGGCCCACAAGTTAGAGTGCTTTTTCACTTGTACAGCAATCATATGTTGAAATTGCACTGGAGACCCACTCATTTTGTGTTTTCTGTACACGCAGCATATCTCATAGCATCCCTCTTGTTACACTGCAGGCACAGATGAATGACACTTTTTGTTAATGTGTTTTAAACGAAGGGTGGCAGAGCTACAACTTCCCATGCAATTTCCTGGTCTGAACTGAAGAGTGGGAGTACACACTACTTAAGAACTAGTCTTAAAAATTGCTGTTAGTGCAACTAAGAATGTGATATTGGCATGAAGAGAAATGCTAAAGGTTCACTGTTTTATGAAAACAGATGCAGGGAGATTTCAAAGGAAGAAAGTATCTTAAAATGATCACTTAATTTATTCCAGGTTTTCTCTTTTGCTACCATCTTCATGGGAGAGCCATGCTGGATGTCCATGTTCATCAATTACTGCTGTTTGCTGTCTTTGGAGCTGCTGTTTGCATATTTCTGGAAGTTTTCTTCCGTGGCAGTATAGTGCTAGAGATGTTTCGTACAAGCCTTTGCATATTACAAGGCAGCTGGTTCTGGCAGGTAGGTCACTTTTCTGCCTTAGGAACTTCTTCCTTCACCAAAATTAGTGATTTAGCCCTTTGAAGAGGTTTCATAGGGGATGTAATATGCCTTTTAAACACAGACCTAAAAGGACTCATAGAAAACAACGCACTCTTAATGTCCCTTTAAAGATATAAAAGTATTTCTTGTATCAATTTTACAGAAGAGGAAGCAGAAGCCATTTTACTTCTTGTGCATTTTATCAATAAAAAAGCTAAGGAACTTTTCTTGAGCTCTCCCTTGTTCACTGACCATTCTTTCTGACCCTTATAATGTCCTGTTCCAAATCCACAAGCCAAATGGCAGTGTTTTTAGAGCCCAGCAATATATGCTGTTCTTTATGAAGACAATCTCCAGTCAGCTGCTGGAGCGGTGAATAAATGCCCAGCAGAGTACTGGATGGGTGAGGCAATGCACTCATTGACATTGCCCAACTCAAAAGGTATTTAAGCTCCCAATCTGCGTTAAGAAACTGGGTCATGCAAAGCCTCCTGCTTTTCCAGGGCTCTGGAAACTGAGCAGAAGAAAAACCAGCTGAAACCGTGGTATTTCAAGGATGTGGCTCCCAAAAGGACTCTTCAAAAATGCAGCTTCCATGCCCTCACTTACTTGTGATTCTATCCAATTAACAGATATTTGATAATGACCCTGTCTCTACTGTCAGAACAAGAGAAAGAATTTAATGAATTGCTGTGATCTCATAACAAAGAAATAGGAGCACTAGTGCTGATGTGTTTCATCTTACAGTGGAGAACTGAGGTCACTCCAGAGATTTTTCTTTCCAGCATGTCTAGACTGGCTTCCCTTTTTTATATGCTGGCAAGACATGATGAAAAAAAATGTTTGCTGTTTCTTAGGAGAACTGGACACTCAGCACCAAATCAAATATCTAAATACTAGCTCTGGCAAGAAGACAGACCTCCTCAACGGCAGTATTTTTCTATAAGTGAAATCAAGAACCTGGTGCTGCAGCACTTTGTGGTTTATTTTCCTGTTTGTACACTTTTTATTGGTGATTTAAGAAGCTTTACATGAGAGGAATTAGACACAACCATTTATTCTTTGTTGTCCATCCAGTCTAATTTTAGAGCAAGTTATTTCTTTAGCTCTGGAGACGATGTGTTTTTTGTTTCAAAGTGAAAAATTGAAGAACTAAAAATACAAGCAATTAAGTGTAGCTTTTTTCACACCTGCAGGAGACTTCAACCATATGTGTGACTGAAAACCACGTACTGGCTGCAGCATGACAGATTTGTAAAAAGTAAAGGGAACTTCTGCATCATCAACTCCCTCATTCATTGAATTCTCTGCATGGAAATGCAAAATGCACTCCTCCCATCCTCCTTCCTCTCCTCTTCCTAGGTCCTAAATTCTCAGCTGAACTGCTGAGCCATGGCTCTGAAGAGTATTAGGCAGTACAGAGGACCAGTGCTTGACATGCAGACCCCTCTGCAGCCACAGGATTACTAGCTTCCCACCTTATGCATTAGTATCAATTTGATCTTTTCCAACTCTGAATGTACAAATTAGCTATGTATTTCACATGGCCGAATAGCCTTGGGTGACAGCTCCATTTTTAAGTAATTTCAAAACCTGACCTTTTTCCTGGGTGGCCCAGAAGAAATAGACTTATGTTCACCTTTATTTATTAATTTACATCTTCAGAATCGTGTAGCACATTCCCAGACACTGTTGGGAAGAAGTGAGTGAGTGCAAACGGCCGGGTAGGCTTTCTTGTTGGTGATGTGTTTGCAGTTCAGACCACACAAGGCTGAGCACTGGCGCCTTTCCATAGAGTACATAGCTGTGATTGTTGTGGGACTTGTTGGGCAGGGTCCTTAATTCTCTGGGCAAGAGCAGGGGTTTCCTGGGACAGGCTCTGCATCTTCAAAGGCACTTCTGCACAGAACTGTGTAAAACAATCCATTGCATCTGAGTGCGACTGCAAAATTGTTTTTAATAATAACCACAGAAATAATCAGCACTTAGAAAAAAAGAGATGTCTGCCTTGTGATAGGTAGCACAAAACATGATACAGCATGACTTTTGCTAAATATGTATTATTTTATTACAGATTGGCTTTGTGCTTTATCCTCCAAATGGGAGGCCAGAATGGAATCAGATGGATCATACCAATATGATGTTCCTGACCATGTGCTATTGCTGGCATTATGCCTTTGCTTTTCTTATACTTGCAGTCAATTATACAATTGTCAGCTGGTAAGTTATTTGAGACACTAAAACTTTGGAAACTTGTCTATTTAGTCTAGCAGAAGCCTAATTTTAGAAATGTCTCACTGACAAATCAAGTTTTCTACAAAGTAATTAATTGTCTTGCAAGGTAAAATAAAAATAGGTATTGTTAATCAATGAAGACAACATGATTCACTGCTTCAGTAGAAAGGGGAAAAATACTCATGAAGCACAGTTCTGAAAGGATAATGCTTCTCACTTAAAAGAAGCTCTTTCTTAATAGTGTTCCATATATGTAAATGCATATGAAGTTAGAAGTAGGAGAAGTTTTTTTTCGTACAGCATCTTCTCTCCCAGTGGTCATCTCTAATTCCAAGTGACTTAGCCAGCAGGCTTCATGACTCTGAAGATTATTGGACAGGTTTCATTGCTAGCAATTCCTGTGATCAGACCTGATTTCTTTTCCACTAGCCAGTTTCATCCCCCCATTTCTAAAGTTAGCTTTTTTTTTCGTGTTAATGCTGATAAAATTACAACCACAGTGTTAAATTAGTTATAAAAATGAGCCTGATTCTGCCATGTGTGATCAGCTGCCTGCAGGACCTTACCAAGCCTTTGGCTGCACTGTTCTAAACATGCTTCTAACCCCTCAGTTTACCCTTACCATCCTAATAGCCCTATTTTGTCAGGCTTTGGCTACATGCAGTTCTTGCAGTCTTGCAAGAACTGAGATGCCAGTTCTTTTTGGATCTTTTGTCTGAAAGGCACTGACATTCAAGGCTGGGTAACTGGTTTGTTGTGTGAAGGATGGCAACTATAGAGTAGGTGACAGAAATCTTACATCCCTTCTGATGCTGGAAACGGCGGCTGGTGCAGCATGTCTTACAAAGAGTATGTTCAGGTAGTATCATTAAATGTAGCACATACTAATGTCATGGTACATGTTCACATTATACAGTTGTCACTCATGCTAACATACAGCTATTTACAACCAAGGCCTGTGGTTAAATACTGCCCAGATTCTTCTTGAAAGCAGAAGCCATCTTTACAATGTCTTCCACAGTGGCCCACTACAAGTCTTCATACACCAGTCACCCTAACTCCCTGATGAGGTGCAGGAGTTAAGCAGTTTTTAACCATATAAAAATGGCCAGATAAGCCTTTGAGTTTGTCCTGGGTTCAGCAGTAGCAGTCATTTTTTCTCCTTCTTACTAGCTGGTGCAGTGCTGTTTTGACTTTCGGCCTGGGAACAGCGTTGATAACACCGATGTTTTTAGTTACTGCTCAAATGTTTAGACTGACCAAGGACTTTGTGAGTCTTATGATCTGACAGGGAGGAGGGGAAGCCAGGAGGAAGCAGAGACAGGGCACCTGACCCAAACTAACCAACGAGGTATTCCATACCACAGCACGTCATGCCCACTATATAAACTGGGGGCAGTTTCCCAGAAGGGCTAGTTCACTGCTCAGTCAGGCTGGCTACTGGTCAGTGGGTGGTGAGCGGTTGTATTCTCTTCCCTTGTTATTTCCCTTACCAATATTATTATTATTGGTGGCAGCAGCAGTGGTTTGTGTTATACCTTAGTTACTGGACTGGTCTTATCTCAACCCGTGGGAGTTACATTCTTTTGATTTTCCACCCCACCCCTCCGGGAGCAGGGAGAGGAAAGTGGGGGGTGGTGGTGAGAGAGCAGGCTGCGTGTTTTTTTATGGGTTGCCAACTGGGCTTAAACCACAATAGAGTTACTATTGAGACCTCTCATTTTTTGTTGTTTTCAGGGCAGTTCGTTCAAAGGTTAAACAGTCCCAATCCATGGAAATGGGATTACTGAAGACATCTGAACGAGATCAGGAATCAGAAGATGAAATTTAGTATGAATATGGCTTGACGAGTTTACCTGCTCTACCATTAGGCTAACTGATACCTCATTTATGCAATTTTTTAACATCTTATTCATTCTTTACTACAACTTGCTATGCAAATATCATCCATGAGTACTGTCTACATCTGCACAGTTACATCTTTATTGGTGGAGGGTAAGCTTTGTATTGATTTGCAGCAGTTGCACTAGTACATAGCTTACCACGTGATTCAAAGAAAACCAGACTAATATTAGACAGACTTGAACTGGATAAGGTGGCATGATGAAGTCTGTGTGTTTGCCTCATTAACAGCTAAGCAAAATGCTTTCTGACTGCTACTGAATGGACCCAAGTTTCCATAATTAGGGTGTTCAAGTAAATGTGTTTGCTGCTCTGCAAGTAACTGTGCATAAATAACTCTGCAGACCTGGAAGGAGTAGTACAAGATGAAAAATCAGATTTTTGCAGCTGTCTTGTATAACACTTCTGTGTCTCTGCTTGTGGCTTTATGCTGAAAGACAGTCTGTTGAAAAGCAGAGGTGCTCTCTCCTGTTGAAAAGAACAGGTTCTCTCCCCCATGCTCGCTGTTGTTTGGGATGTGCTCCAACCTCAACAAAAGGGAAATAAGTGATATGGCAAAAGTCATCAGAAAATGATGTTGCATGTAAGCACATTGCCTCTAAGGGGCAGAACTTTCGAATCATCACTCTTGCTCTAAATATGTCTTTCAAAAGACTGACATGGGCAGCTTGTGGTACAGCAGCACTTACACTCTGTTTTCCAGAGGATTGAGAAAGGAATTTGTGCTGGTGGCCAGCAAGCGGCCATTTTACACATGCATCAGTGATAAGATGGTCATGGTAAGATGGTCATTCTGGAAAACAGCCTCTTCCCTTTAAAACTCCTTCTAAAGATACTATTTTCTTATTATTTTCTGAAACAGGCTAATGCAGGACAAAAAATCCTGTTCAAATAATGCCTGTTCATCAGGTTTGGTGCTGTGGAAGAGTGTTTCTTTTATTATTCAAACATTTCCAGATGCTCATAAGGGAGTGCAGAGCTGAACTCTGGTAGGTGAATGAGATTTGTAGGATCTGGTCCCTCCACTTTTGAGCTTCCTTTAAATTTTTCCAGTGTGAACCAGAAAAATTGGTAGCATAAAGTTACTAACTGCAGTAAGAAGGTTGCTTAATTTAGGTAATAATATAGTTTGTAGCTCAAAGGAATCTCAGGACTCAGAGAAAAAAAGGAAAAAGAAAAATCAAAGTCTTTTTCTAAAGCTGTTTAACCTTCAATACAACATAAACATTCACTTCATTTTTAAGAGCTACCTTTTATCTCCCATTTTTCAAGGAGTACCTTCCTTAGCTGCACATGCTATTAATGCTGAATTTTAGACTGCCAGATTTATTAATGTGTTTCTGAAATCAGTGGTGTTGTTTATTTTGAAGGACATTTTCAGAAAGTGCTTTGTTTCTCATATGCAGGAGCAGTGCAGGTTTCTTCACTGCTCTTCTTAATAAATATATTTGATACTGTACAAATATTAAGGTGCTGTATCTCTAAAATAAAAGGATAGCCTCAGAAGAAAAGCATAATAAACTGGCTGAGCTTTCTTAGAACACTTAGAAGACTTCAGTTGGTAATTCTTTAGACTATTTTAGATATTTGCCAAGTATTGTGAAATGACACTTGTAATCAGGTGCCAAATTATCCACATGAACCTACTTTGGAAAGCAAGAATAGTTGGCTTACAGACATTTCTACATTTACAAATATAAAATGGGAAACTGCAGTTTGCTAAGCAAAGATCACCGCTTTTCTTAATAATTGCTGTCCTTTTCTAAGTACCTTTCTCTGAAGGATCTTGGAGATTATGGTGAACTTTAATGAAGCCCGTCTCAGGACACTCTTGTAAGCTAGGTTTTGGTATGGCATTTTTGTAGCTCCATGTCTCAGCTTTACAGTGATCTCACTATAAACTCTGAATTAATTTTTACTCCACTCTGCAAATCTAAGACTTGAGTTTCATTGCTGTGATTCCATTAAAATCAGATTTTCTGTTGGCATAAGCAAGAGGGAAGATCCATGGCTTTGCTGAGGAGCTTACCTGTTAATTGCAGCAGGGATACACTGGCGAAATACAGTGTGTCATTACACTCAGCTATAATCTTCCCTTCATTATGCCACATTATTCTTTTTTGTAAATAGTTGGGACTATTTTAAAGGGCAAAATTTTTTCTGGTTAGAATGGTTGGGGTACAAAGCTTCTGCAGTGCTGGGAGTGAAGACGGTGGTTATGTACCAAAAAGAACTTGGGAATTATTACAGCAATCTGTTGTGATAAGCCCAAATCAGTTGACAAAGTGAGCCTCATGGGATTCAGTGATCTGAGTGAACATGGAGAGTGCTCAGCAAACTCTCCTTTTGAAAAAACTGCTTTTTCAGAAACAAGAAATGCCAGTACTTGAATGTCATGGCCAGAAGAGTGGCTGCCTGACATGGTCCCCCTGTGACTGCCTCAGCCTGGTGGCTCTGGCTCTGTCCCTATTTACATCCAGCAGTGGCTGCAGGTGTGTGCATTTTCTTCGCAGAAAACATGAGCAGGACTCTCAGCCTCCTGAGAGGTATCACCTATATCTCTTTCGTCTCCCCGCTGTGAATCTCCCATAAACGATTGGGCAACTGAACGAATAAGCCCATCATACACATCTGCTGGTTTTGGTGCAACCATGCTTTGAAAAGATGCTTTTGAAGAAGCCCAACCTGGAGGCTAATGCAGTCTGTGACACAGAATTGTAGGGCAGCCTTCTTACAAAAACTCTTTTTGCATTGGGGAAAGTAGTATTACATTATTTAGCTTGAAGAAATGCAAGGAAAAACAGATCCTGAAGCCTCAAAGAAATGATAGTCTCTTGGATTTTATTTGTAATGCTTTTGTGCCTGCTATATTTTTGGTGCCACAAAGGAAAGAAACACTCCATTTCACGGTGGGTTTTTGCTACACAGAGCTCTTTACCCATTCTTCTCAAGCACTGTTCGAAAGAGATGCTCAGGAACAGTAAGGTAACTATTACAAGTTAGGAGGTACAACAGTCAGCATTTCACTAGCAACAGATTTTGCTTGAGTTGAATGAGTGGAGGGAAGTCTGACAAGTTTACAAACATCACTTAGAAAAAGGTAGCTGCTCTCAAGAACATTGAAATTATTGTTAAATATTGGTGCTTTTGAAAATCTGCATGGTAGTTTATAATAGACAAAATATGCCTGTAATATTATTTAAATAAAATTGATTTATTCATATAAAATGTCTGTCATGTTTCAGGGGAAAAAATATATGCATTTATGGGGTATGATAGACATGTTACTCTCGTAGCTAACCCAGACATTCGAGAGAGTTGCACTCAAGTTCAGGAAAGGTCAGTGCTGCCTTGTCAAATTCCCTTGATTCTGTTATTTAATCATAATTTACAACACAGTTGAAAGCAACTCTTCTTGAGGTCTGGGAAGTACGATCCATGAAAGTCAAATGCTGTGGAAAAAGGAGGTCTGGACCTGGTCTCCTGTATCATACATAATGGGGCAGCCAGCAACCAAGTAAACAGAACTGCATGAATGGGATCTTTCTGTTTTGGCAAGCTTTATAATAAGAATATTTGTGATTTTATTTGACTTTGCTTCCCTTTTCTTTTAAAGAGAAAAAAAAAACCACTTTTTCTGCTGTAAGGTGAAAATGCATTCTGAAAGAAAAAAGCTGACACATTTGAAGACATTTTGGCAATTACAGATTTTGACCTTTTCATATTTTTCACCAGTTTCTAAAACTAAGACTAGGGACCATACCTGATAAAAAGTAGCAAACAATTTTGTGAACTCTCAGACTGCATTTTAGGGATAAATTTATTAAACTTTATAGTTCCGTGGGCTTGATACCACTTTGCTACATATTTGACAGAGAGTGTTTTTTAGAGTGGGATGCACTTACCTGTATGTAAGAAAACTTCTAAATTTATCTAGGGCCAAGTAAGGGATAGAAAGTCAGCACTTCCCAATTTCCCATTTCATCTGGTTGTTCACAAATCTGAAAGAGCTGCATAAGACTTCTGAAAACTATCAGTCAAAAACTTCAAAAAACTAGAAGTAGCTTTAAATAAACCACTCTGGGAATCAACCAGTTTGCATTAGAAAGTCTAATGTACCAATGTCACTGTACACCCTCTGGTTGGCTATCTCCAGCCACATTGCCAGTGTGACTGTTTACTGTCATGGTCAACCTCAAAAATCTGGTGACAAGATACATGCCCCATCCCATTCAGGCAATCATGTAAAATGCACATTTTTGCATTGGCTCTGTGTGAGACAGATGAACTCCAGTGTGTGGCAGGGGCTTGGCTCACAATGGGAAGGCGTTTCCACCTGTGTGGATGACTTGGGACCTCATGGTTACATTGGTAGTGGGGTGAGGCATGGAGGGAGGCCCTCATGCACAATATGGGGAATCTGGTCTTGGGACAGCACTGCCTGAGCTCAGGAAGTTCACTCAGTGTTGCCAGTGGGCTGCAAAGAAGTTAGAAACCCAAACAAAAGGAGGCTGAAACAGCCCCTTGGACAAATAGGGACGATGTCCTGGGGGAAAAAAGAGCATCTCTGAGCTGGCAGCATAAAGGCAAGGCTGCTCTTGCAGTTCCTGGGCCCATGACCACAATACCATCTGAACCAGCCTTTGCATTTTAATCTGGATCAAGAGAGCGCTTTGGATTTTAGCCGCACATCCTAACTTAAATGCCCAGGTTTGCATCATGGAGTGGAGTCAAAGCATGGGATCTGGAGTCCCTTCACAGGGAATGAAGTTCAGTGGTGGTGTCCTGTTGATGCGGGAGTCACGGACAACGCAGACACGATCAATGTGATCAAGCGATTGCCAAATTTATGACAAAGCCTTAACTCCTTATATACTATTTCTTACATGCACTTACAGTGATTTGGCATATTATGATTGGATACATGTCTTGAAGACCCTTAGTGACTAACATATAATTGGTTAAGCACAGGTGTGAGAACTTGACCTCGAAAGCTTGCCAACAGTTCACGGTTCTCATTAACTCAGTGAATTCCAGCTTCTTCTTATCTTGCTTGCTTAAGCTTCCTTGGGCCTCTCATGGCCTTGCTGTATCTTTCAGGACTATTCAGAGTTTATGTACCAATTATCCATTCTTCCATGAGAACACTGTCTCATAGAATCATAGAAGCGTTAGGGTTGGAAAGGACCTTAAGATCATCAAGTTCCAGTCCCCCTGCCGTGGGCAGGGACACCTTACACTAAATCATATCACCCAAGGCCTCGTCCAACCTGGTCTTGAGCACTGCCAGGGATGGAGCATTCACAGCTTCCCTGGGCAACCCGTTCCAGTGCCTCACCACCCTAACAGGAAAGAATTTCCTCCTTATATACAATCTAAACTGCCCCTGTTTAAGTTTTAACCCGTTACCCCTTGTCCTATGAATGAAGAGTCCCTCTCCAGCATCCCTGTAGACCCCTTCAGATACTCGAAGGCTGCTATGAGGTCTCCACGCAGCCTTCTCTTCTCCAGGCTGAACAGACACAACTTCCTCAGCCTGTCTTCATACAGGAGGTGCTCCAGTCCCCTGATCATCCTCGTGGCGCTCCTCTGGACTTGTTCCAACAGTTCCATGTCCTTTTTATGTTGAGAACACCAGAACTGCACACAATACTCCAGGTGAGGTCTCACAAGAGCAGAGTAAGGGGGCAGGATCACCTCCTTCGACCTGCTGGTCACGCTCCTTTTGATGCAGCCTAGGACATGGTTGGCTTTCTGGGCTGCAAGCGCACACTGCCAGCCCATGTTCATTTTCTCATCAACCAACACCCCCAAGTCCTTCTCCGCAGGGCTGCTCTGAATCTCTCCTCTGCCCAGTCTGTAGCTCTGCCTGGGATTGCTCCGACCCAGCTGTAGGACCTTGCACTTGTCATGGTTAAACTTCATGAGGTTGGCATCAGCCCACCTCACAAGCGTGTCAAGGTCCCTCTGGATGGCATTCCTTCCCTCCAGCGTATCAACCGAACCACACAGCTTGGTGTCATTGGCAAACTTGCTGAGGGCGCACTCAATCCCACTGTCCATGTCACTGACAAAGATGTTGAACAAGACCGGTCCCAACACCGATCCCTGAGGGACACCACTCGTTACTGGTCTCCAGCTGGACATTGAGCCATTGACCACAACTCTTTGCGTGTGGCCATCCAGCCAGTTCGTTATCCACAGAGTGATCCATCCATCAAATTGATGTCTCTCCAATTTAGAGACAAGGTTGTCGTGTGGGACAGTGTCAAACACTCTGCACAAGTCCAGGTAGATGACATCAACTGCTCTACCCCTGTCCATCAGTTCCGTAGCCCCATCATAGAAGGCCACCAAATTGGTCAGGCAGGATTTCCCCTTCGTGAAGCCATGCTGGCTGTCACCAAGCACCTTGTTGTTTTTCATGCGCCTTAGCATGACTTCCAGGAGAATCTGCTCCAAGATTTTGCCAGGCACAGAGGTGAGACTGACCAGTCTGTAATAACCTGGGTCATCTGTTTTCCCCTTCTTGAAAATGGGGGTTATATTTCCCTTTTTCCAGTCATCGGGAACTTCACCTGACTGCCATGATTTTTCAAATATGATGGCCAGCAGCTTCGCAACTTCATTCTCCAGCTCCTTCAGGACCCACGGATGGATCTGATGAGGACCCATGCACTGCTACATCCTCTGCTACAGTGGGCGCAAGGTCTTCATTCTCACAGTCCCTGCATCTGCCTTCCAAGACTTGGGTGGTTTGGTCAGAGCCTTTGCCAGTGAAGACCGAGGCAAAGAAGTCATTCAGAACCTCAGCCTTCTCCAAATCCTGTGTAGCCAGTTCTCCTGAGAGTTTCCTGAGGGGGCCTACATTCTCCCTAGTCTGTTTTTTATTTGCTATGTACCTGTAGAATCCCTTCCTGTTATCTTTAATACCTCTAGCTAAGTTTAACTCTAGCTGGGCCTTAGCTTTCCTAACCGGGTCCCTGGCTTCCCGGACAGCATCCCTGTACTCTTCGCATGCCACCTGTTCTTGCTTCCACTTTTTATAAGCCTCTTTTTTCATTTGAATTTTCCTCAGGAGCTCCTTATCCATCCAAGGAGGTCTCCTGGCCCTCCTGCTGCACTTCCTTCTGGTTGGGATGCAGCACTCCTGAGCTTGTAGCAGGTGATCCTTGAATATCAACCAAGAGTCTTGGGCCCCCCTGCCCTCTAGGGCTGTATCCCATGGAACCTTCCGAAGCAGGTTCCTGAAGAGGCCAAAGTCTGCTCTCTTGAAGTCCAGGGCAGTGAGCTTGCTGCACGCTCTTCTCACTGTCCTGAGGATCTCAAATTCGATCATCTCGTGATCGCTGCGTCCAAGGCTGCCCTGGAGCGTCACATTTCCAATGAGCCCTTCCCTGTTGGTGAGCACGAGGTCAAGCACGGCACCTCTCCTTGCTGGCTCCTCTATTACTTGCAGAAGGAAGTTGTCTTCCACACAACCGAGGAACCTCCTGGATTGCTTGTGCCGGGCCGTACCGTCCTTCCAACAGATGTCAGGGTGGTTGAAGTCACCCATGAGAACGAGGGCCTGCGAGCATGAGGCTTTTCCTATCTCCACAGTGTCCAGCATTGATCTACAACTATGGGAGGGAAAGCTGCATTCATGGCATACAGCATTCCAACCTGCCTTCAGTTTTATCAGGGATAAGGTTCTCCGACACACTCTGGGATTTTTGTGGCTCCTGTGTGGCAGGCGCAGAAGCAGTAATGCTGATCTCCTGCTCCTGACGGGAATGACAGCGGGAGTGAAAGCCTGCACTGTTTTGCTGGAATTTTACTGGTGTGACTCCAACTCAGACAGACGCAATTGCAACATAAAAAAAAAGTCAAAGATGGTATTCACTGCTGGCACCACACTTCATTCAGGTTTGAAAACAAACAAATAAAGAAAGGAAATAAGAAACATCTGGCTCTAATTAAGGCTTAAAAGAAATGGAGGAAAGCAGAAAAAAAACGTATCTAGCCACTCAAGAATGGTTTGTCTCCCTGCAGTTGCATCACATACACAAATTTGCAAGTAATAAGGTTTTCTTTCCGTTTGATTATTCTATCATAGAAACATGGCTTATTATTTCCATAAATAAAAGTCTACTATCCCTTAGGATGTATTTATTGATTTGTTTTGGTTTTGCCATCTGGTTCCTATGATGCTTTTTTTTTTTCTCTTAAGATTTATACAAAATATTCATGTGAAGTTAGAAGTTCCCAATCTTTTTAGCTCACAGTCTTACTCCCACTTCCCAGCTGACAAACTTGTCTTCCATTTGCAAACTTGGGCTTGCAACCCAAGGTTTTGGACTCATGGTATTTTATATATGTAAACACAACATGCTTCTCAAAGACATCCATGATGATGTTAGCTATATAAAGGAATGAAAGCAGGGATGTTATTTCCATTGAATAGAATGGCCAATGTCAGTAACCACAAGAATTAATTTTTATTTCTTTCCCACTTTGCAATTTAAAAATCTCTGCAAGAGATTTTTAAAAATGCAGAATGATCTAGCAGCATTTCTACTAGCAAAGGACCCAGACCTGTGATTCAGAAGCTAGGTATGCTTTTAATATACCGTAAACCTCGGACTTGGTGCCATATTGGATGTAGCTTAACTTAATTTTGCTGAACTATTCTGTGACTCAGTTTCCCCATCTGCAAGAGCTAGTCTGTCTATGCTTGGTTCTGCTTTGCTCTGTACAAGTCCTGCACAGGGACAGGCATCTTGTGTGTTTTGTGCTCTTGGCCCTTCTAACCTCAGAAAGGCAAACATTTAACTGCTATGGCAAGAGGCTGCAAAGTAATTAACACATGCAAGGGTACTAAGCGTTCTTGGTGAGTAGGACAAGGAGGAGATCTTCTTCTCCAGCTGAGAATTGTGGTTGTTCATGGTTTAACAGCAGCAACATAGCTGGGCCACACAGCTGTCAGGCTGCCAGGGCTTGCGTGGTTGACTCCGCAAATGGTTCCCAGCCCATGGAATGGCCAGGCAGTGGAATGCATGTTGGGGCCACCCCTGGAGCTGTGCTACCCAGCCTCCACTCATGGCTACTCTCACTGGGCAAAGGGGGCACTTCTGCTGCCCTGCCCCACAAAGTCCCATTTCTGCCCCTCTGATGAAGAAAGCCTGCCAGTGCTTGTGCAACCCCCTTGAGGAGGATTTTCAGTTTGGCATTTTATTGAGTTAAAATGCCCAAATACACCCTCTCAGCCAGGGAGATGTCTGCACTCCCTCCTACCCGTCGGCTGCATGCCACAGCCCCTGTGCCCTCCTTGTTGTCTCGGTGCTGATCGTGAAGGGGATGTTTCCCCTTCTCTGTTTTCAATACTAGTAAGAATAATACGGAGAGAGGAAAGCTCTAGGACAAGAGACAGACTCTTAACTCAACGGCTACCGCAGATGGGCAGGGAGATCCCCATCTGGCCAGAGCTGTGCCCAGAGGGACAGCAAACAGCCATGTCCTGCCTGGAGCTCTGTCCCAGTACCAGTCACTGGTGCGGAGATGCAGCCTGTTTTAACTTGTGAGCAGACTGTTAAAATGTTAGGCTGTTTGAAGAAGCGTATTAACAGTTTTGGTGCTCTCATTTGTAAATCTAATTATTATTATTAAATCTAAATATTAAATCTAAATATGAAATCTAATATTAAATGATCTAATAGCATAATATTATTAATTAGATATTTATATATGTCTAATTAAATAATATTATATTAAATCTAAATCTAATTGTATTACTGAATTATTGTAAATCTAACAATCTAATTATTTCAGCATTTCCTCAGAATTTCCTATGTCTTATGTGCTTTCTTCCATATAGTGTGTCTTGATCACTAAAAATTAGATGTTTGGTGTTTTCTGCATTGATTTTTTGAGTATGAACATTTTTGTGAATATTTGCAGATTGCCACCAAGGAGATTAAATACATACCTTACCTTAGTCATCTTTTTTCTTGATAAAAATAAAAAAAAAAAACAAAGTAGTCTGTAAGGTGTTAAAGAAAGAGTAGCATCTAGCAGTATCAGTACTATTTACTGGCTAGACCAGCGGGCTGCATCCCAAGAGACCTGAGCCCTTTTTTGACTGTGTTTTTTTTTGTATATCCTTGGCATATTACATCAGTTTATTGAGTCCTTCTTCTAAAACTGAGATGAAAGTACTTCAGTAATTAAAAAAGCCAAACAAGCCTCCTTTCCTCCCTAATGAAGAACACCATGTAAGAGCAAGGTACTGTTCCTACTCACACACAAGAGATCCATCCACTGATCACTGATTATAGAAAATACAGTGTTTAGTCCAATTAGTTTTTTTAACAACTCTATTTGCCCCTTCACTTTGACTGTCATATTCATCTCTTAGCTTTTAATTTGTCAGAGGGAGACATAATAACATGCAGAAGATGCTGATTTTGGAAGTTCTGGTGGTGTAACTTCTCTTTCCACTTCACATTTTACTATCCATATTCTTTTCCTTCTCCACTTCTTTCTGGATGAATCAGACGTCCTGGGAATCTGAAGTCAGAGATTTTATTCCTAGTTCTGCCAGTGCCTCCTGAGAGACCATATTTAATAGTGGAGCTGCCTAGAGGACATGCAAGAAGGGTGTACCTTGCTTCCTGTCTAAATTATGTAGTATGGAAATGCCATTAACTCTCTCGGTGCATGCCAAGTGTCTGATTTAGGCCAGTCCTAACACAGTCAGCATTTCCCCCTCCTCTCAGCACAAGACAAATGTTGCTGCAGAGGAGAGACTTTATTCTCAACCTTCCACAAACTCCTCCCTGGGTCCAGCCTAGCCTCCCTGCTGCAGAGCCTGGTGGTTATGGCTGTGTCAGCAAATAAAATGAGGATACACAACAGGACTAATCCCTTAAGTGCTAGCACACTGCCTGGCATGGTTTTGGCCTGTGCCTTCCAGCACCTCATCAGACCATGCGCAGGTCTAATTTGAGGATTAGAGTCAGTTCCAGAAGGCTATATATATATGTAATATATACGCTTTGCCAAGAGGGAAGAAACATTCTCTGACATGCCTCTGAGCCATGCCATACATTCAAATATCAAGCTCCATCCCTTACCAATATAAATGTAGCTGCCTGTCTGAGGTGGAACATTGTCTTATAGCAAGTAGAAGACATTCAATGCCTTGGTAAGAGAAATGTTTTACTGGTTGGGAAATTCTATAATTCTACTCCATTTGAGCTCTGTTTGAGCTCTTTGGGCTCTTTTTCCTTTTCTTAAGTATTTAAACATGATTGCTGATATACATTATTACCTCTGTGCTCTATGCTTTATAGATGGAATCATTTTTCTTCTTACACTGATGTTTAAGGAAGTATCCCAAACATTGCATTCTGCTTTAAAGTAGAACAGGAGAGCAAACACTCTCTAGAGTATTTTACTTGTAACATGTTTACACTGTACATTAGTCTTCTGATAGAGCTTTGAGAAATGTCTTGATATTTTCTCGCTCTTTCAGTAGAAATCTCATTTATTTTTCAAAGGACAAAAATAAACCTGTAGCTAATCTAGTAAATTATGTTTTAAAGAGGAAATATTTAGCTTTACATAAGTTTATGTTTGCATGCATATAAGCAAAACATGATAAATAGCACCTGTTCATGTTTTCATTACAACTTGCACTGTAGAAAACTTTGCTGAAAGAGTATGGAAAATATTGCATGTTCTATACCTGAAAATCAGCTAAATGCATCCTTGTAAGTCACTTCTGTGTGCAAATTTGTAACAGAAAACTGGCTAGTGTTTCCTTTCAAAATAGTCACTATACTGACATGATACAAAATTATTACACTGACTACAAGAGATTTATCAGATGTTTGGAGGGAGGGAACATACCCATGCCCAAGAAGTAGCGCGTAAGTAAACAGCAACTATTTAACATATGTCAGTAGTAATCTACCTTGGCTAATATAAATGTATGTCCAGTGCTTTGTTCAACTTGGTGGGGCTAAACCCAGATGAGATAGGAGTTAACTCCTAGTACAACTCCTAGAAGAGTACCTCTGCTTATGCTTAGGATTTACACAACTGCAGGTAAATGAGCTGCTGGGAACTGGATGGCTGCTGGAAGTACTGAAGTAGCGCATGTACTTCAGGGACAGAAAATACCTCCATGCCCATCTGATGCATTGCTTGTTATGCGTACTGGTAGTGGTCATTCTGTATTGAAACTTCATTCACAAGTATTAGCATTAACAGTTTCAATAATATTTGATTAAGAAAACCCCAATGGTTCATGATGACACAGCATTATGCAAGAAGATTTTAGTTTTAGTTTAAAAATACTTACGATCAAAACGTGATTCTTGAGATGTTTAATGTCTGCAAAACTTCAAAGCCAAAGCCAAATAAAGAGATATTTTCTGACTCTTAAGATAAAACCAGAAAAAAAAAACAACATTATTTTAAGTCAGTGCCACAATTACTGAAACCTGATGAGTTTTACTGTGTTGGGAGTATATGTGACTGCATTAGTCAGCTCAGGAATCTGTGTTTGTGAAAGACACAGATTTCTCTCTGCCTAAAAGAAAAAAGAAAGCTTTATAATGGTACATGAGACCTTGAACAGCAGCCTGAGAAAGGCTGTCAGCAAACACTGACTAAAGCCACAGTTTTGATTAGTGTTAACTGCAAGCATCATGTTGTTTTTACAGAAGCGCTCTCCTGGGAAATGCAAAGGTAAGGCTGATGCTGTTTGCTGGCACCTGCTTTTTGCTGCAAGGGTGGCGTGGCAGCTGTGTCTGTACCTGCAGGGGTAAACCCTGGAGTTCTGACCCCACAGCTTTGTGTTTTTCTGTTTTACGCTCCCACAGGAAGTGTCAGCCCTGATCTTCTTTACACCTTTCCCTTTCCTCTCACTCCTTTTGCACCCTGTGACCAACAGTGCCAGAGCCAGACTCTGACACCTCAGCTGGGCTGTGCAAGTGCCACTACCATTGCTGTCACCCGTGACTGCTGCAGCTGGTCCCCTGTCCTGCCCCTCAGCAGGCAGCCCAAGGCCTGTGCATTTGCAGGGCAGGGCTGCTCTTTCCCAGTTTCCAGGATGCTCTGTGCCAGATTACCCTGCTGTGTCACCTTCTGCCTGTCTGCTTCAGGCATGTGTTCACCAAGTAAGACAGGCTTGGAGCTGCGCTGCAAGTTCCACAGTATTTTGCAGGTTCCCAAGCTCCCAAATCTGAAGCAAGTATCTTAGTCTGCCACGTGCCCCCATGTGACACACTCATGTGCCTGGTGGGTGAGCCAGTGCTGCCAGGCAACGGGGCAACAGATGCCCAACCTGGCACTCATCTCCCCAGATATAGCCATTATCCACAGCTGCTTAGCTTGGGCTTCCCAGGTCTCGATTGCTGGAGGAGTTTTCCTTTCCTTTCTGTAAAATTTCCAACAAAGAGAATGTGTTTTGAAAAGCTGATTGCTAGTGGAGACATTACCTAGCAGCACATAGATGCTATTCCATCATCATCATGGACATCTGGCTGTAATGTAGCTGAGACAGCCTGAAACACAAATACTATAGAGCAACAACATGAGCAAAAGCTGAGTGATATGTGCCAAGACCAGAATTACCCCCGCCAAGTGGCATATCCCCTATAGTTTGCAATAACCTTCCAGTTTATGAATCTCATTAGAGAGTAAGAAGCTAGGCAATTTTTTTTAGCTCAGTGAGAATATTAGAAATATACAATAGCACATGTGCTCCTGGCAGCCGGTTTTTACTTTTGAATTTTCTGGTTTTACTGTATTTGTCAGCATCGCAAACAATAGGCACTAAAATGTCAGATCAAATGGCAGTCCTCAGCTCCAGTTTTCTGCATTATTTCAAGGCACAGGTGCACAATTTCCACCATGAAACTTATGGGAAGGGATTCCAATTCCATCCTTCACTTTGGGACTGTGCGAGGTTTACTGTGACGTGGGGCATGGGGTTTTATCAGCTGTATTCAGTAATGCCTGTCTTAAATCAGAGTATCTCTGTCTGATTCTTGGATCTGTGACTGTCCATGTTCTTCTTACTGTTCTGGGTCTCTCAGCACTGGGGTTCTGTGGTCCTATTTTGCCTTCTTGCTCCTGTGAAATCCTGCAGAAGTAATTCTGGCTTTTCATGATTTCAACAGCTTGTGCTTTGGCAGCCTGGAAACCCGCACCATCACTCCTGCTTGTCCAGCAGCTGCACAAAACTGTTTCTACCTACATTGTTGTGGAAACACAGACTCATGTTTGAAAGCTTTGACCCCACATTCATGCCACTGGTTATAGGCTCAAGGGTGGGATCAGTGACAGTACATGAGGGACACTGTGGGTCACATATATTCTTAGTCGAAGTTTCAAATTAATCATGTTTGTTTCTTTTGGTCAGCAAATTAGATAGATACCTCTTTTTACATCACTATTCCTTAATATATCTTGATTATTTATTTACACAGACTCCACAGAATCCGAGCTACCTCTGTGCTTCTGCCTCAATGGTGGCATCTGTCAGGACAGAGCCTGTGTGTGCCCAGAGGAGTGGGTGGGATCTCTTTGTGAGATAGGTCAGCACAAGCCAGGCAGCATAGGCAGCTGGTGTCATTTCTGGGAACCCCTCTGCTTTGGGAAGCCTCTTATCTTCCCCTTTTGCTGAGACCTGCTCAGCAGGGTGGATCCGCAAGCAGTGATATGGCTCTTCTTGCTAGGTGAGGCCGTATCCTTCACTCCTGTCACTCTTTCAAACTAGTAATGTATCTGGGGAAGACATTGCAGGTTTCAACTGTCTGTGGTCTGTTCTTAGCCAATTTGGTCTCTGAATTCCTCTGCTTGAAATTCACAGTGAGTTGAAAATCTGATTCAGACCTCAGCAATCGGTATCGACATCTCTGGATCTACCAGTGTTTACAGGGACACCATCCAGCTCAGCACCCTGCAGGACAGTGACCATCCTCAGTGCCTTCTACCACTGGCACTGCTTTTGAAGGAGTCACATTTCCTACATCTGGCATAGTACTGGGCTGGTTGACTCCCATTTCAGTCCTCTGCGCCACGGCATGGCACTGCTGTAACTGGTGCGGATGCTCCCAACAGATTTTGTGAGGGCACTGGCTCACTAAGCTGCAGTATCTCCAGTGCTGGTAACATCCACAGCTCACACTTTCCAAGACAACCTACACTGTGGTCAGTGTGACACATGGATACGCTGCACCTTTGTAAAATGAAATCACACATTTGGTCAGAAGGATGTCAAAAGATCGGCAAGAAAATATTCCTGGTGAAGACTGCTAGGTAGATGGAAACTTCAGGTATCCCATGTAATTTCCTTAATACAGGATGGGTAGCACATCTAACAGATGATGACAGATTGGATGGGTTCATGATGGATTGGAACATTTGGGTAAAATGTTTTGGAGAAATTGTCTTAAACAAAATAATCATTGCTGGAATTTCAGCACTGGAAACAAACTATTATGATGACTCCGTAATTCCCTGTGTTCACTCCTCTGGTATTCTGTATTTGATTTGCTGCAGAATAGATTTTAGTAATCATAGTTTTTAAAATATATGAGGTAAGAGTGTTTGGACTGGCATAATTAACTTGAAATAACCACAAGCATTATTGCATTTACCAAATCTAAATTTTGGTCTGTTTTCCTGAGGAACGTTTATACGACCCATCTGTTTGTCGTTCCACCTTCTTGGCAACTCTTCACTTGTTGAACATTTTCAACTAAATTCACTAGATGGTTACAACTCTTAAAGATTTTGAGATCTTACAAGTTTTGCATATATCACTAGTTGGGTACAGAAGACCAACCTTATAAATACCTAACTGAGAAAAAGGCAAGGAGACTTAAGCTGACAGTGTGGAGGTGGGGACTGTGGGGCCAGTCCATCCAGGCTAGCCACTAAGATGCACAGCTCTAAACTACCCATGACATTTGTCTTCTCTCCACTAGTTATCAAAATAAAAATCTGTATTTTATGTATTGGGAATAAAAAGATGGATGTGAGAGACAGAAGTGAGGGAGGGACTAAGACATGATGGGGCATAAAGAATGTGTGAACATGGTGCTAAAGGTGTTGGGGAAGCTGGAAGGAAGTCCAGTTGGGTGCTGGGGGTATAAGAGAGGAGGTAATCCGGTTTATTGCCAGCAGGAGAGAGCACGACATAGAGGGTAGTCAAATTTTGTAAACCAATTAGTTTTTTGCATTGGTGATGAAAAATTTCCACTTAGCTCATATTTCATTGCTTTTGTACATTATGTCGTAGTTACTTTCCTTTAAAGATCATGACAGAAGTGCCTGCTTTTCTTCATACTTGTGGTTTGTTTGGCTTTCTAAAAAGATCTAGAGCAATTCTGCTGAAGTCAGAATATTTGCAGTAATTTGAGATTTGCCTCAGTGGGGAAAAAACACCAGTTTTATTTCAGATGGATATCAGTCGGTGGGTGGTGAGGTGGGTTTAAACAATGACAAATAAGTACTAGTGTATGAAAGCGTATGTATCAACTTATTCCTGGCTTTCATCTGTCAGATGAAAGGCAGGATCACCACAAAAGTATTCAAATGCATGGGTCTGGACAGTATTCAATCAAAGCTGCTGAAAGACCTGGCTGATGTCACAGTGGGGCTGCTGTCACCTATGGTGATCAAGGGACAACAGAAAGAATTGAAAAAAAGCCAACATTATGCCCACATTTAAGAACAGCAAGAAGGAGGACTGTGGAAACCATAAGACAGTCAGGTTTACCTCAGTCCTAAGAGTATTACAGAGCATGTCTTCTTGGACATGTCCTCTTGGAGTTTATTTCCATGCATGTAGAAGACAAGAAGATAATCAGGAACATCACGGATCTACAAAGGGAAAATCATATCTGACCAACTTGTCTGCCTTCTGTCTTCTTCAACAGAAGAGCAACAGATGTAGCATACCTTGATTTTAGAGATGCTTTTGACACCATCTCCTTCAGCATTTTTGTTTGGTAGATGAATATATATGGGTTTGGTGAATGAACTGGATTCACTAGCTGGACTGAAAATTAACTCAACAGCCAAGCTTAAAGGGTAGTGATCAGTGACTTGATTGGCATATAACAAAAGTAACCTGCTGGTCAGTACTAGGGCCAGTATCATTTAATGTCTTCATCAAAGACCTGAAGGATAACACAGCATGCCTTCTTAGCAAATCTGTAGACAATACTAAACTTGAGGCAGGGCAGAGGTATTGTGATACAGTTAATAGCATGGTCTCAATGCAGAACCATGAAAAACCTGAGGATAATGACAACAGAAACCTCACAATGTCCAAGAAGGACAAGTGCTGATCTCCATGCCAGGGACATTGGCACAGGCCAGAAACTTTCTGGCTGAGGAGCAGCCCTGCTGCAAATTACCTGTGAGAGACGGTGAATATTCAGGTTCAGCATGGGCCAACAGTGTGTGTTCATCACAAAAAAAGCAGAGCTGCTGTGCTTTGTGGAGAGAGACAGATTGACAGACTCTATTACCCTCATCATCCTGGCACTGGTGAGACAACACCAAGGAATATGGGCCTGCACCCCAGGCTAAAAAGACATGGAGAAGCTGGAGAAGGTCAAGCAGCATGCCCTGCTAATCACCTCCTGGCAAGCAAAGTTCAAGTACGGTGCTATAAAGCAGACCTAATCTTTGCAGTCATGCACCCTTATTTGTTCATAACCATTTCTACAGAAGGGAAGTATCATTGTGTCATGGGAAACTGAGACACTATAGAAAATACGACCCACAGAAAGTTATGTAACTTGACAAGGAAGCCTGTGCCAGCACAGGGAGAACACTCCAGACCTCCTGAGCCCCGCTCAGAACCTCAACCATAGGTATGCTTCTCTGACTCAGTCCTGCTAATAGAACACAGTCAGCTGAAATGTGGTCCGAATTAACAAAAGTTAGCAAAACCAGGATGTTGCAAGTCATAAGATCAAGCAAAATATTTCTGCTGAATGCTGCAGCACTTTTTTCAAGTGTGTGCTGCAATGCAAGGTAAATTTGTGTTATGTTATACTGGTATGGTATGACATGAGTAGGCAATAACCTGCTGTACTGTGTTAGGTCCACTGAGCTCATCATCCTGCCTTTAGACGTAGACAGTAGCAGGTGCTTAGGCAAGGTGTGGGGCTTGGGGTGGCCACCCTGTACCATTGTGGCAGGCAGTTGGGCAGCGACTTCCTGCACCAGAAGCTGCATTGAACCCATCATGGTTCAGAGTCACCAAAAGACTGTGTCCCCCATTAACTGTCCAAACCCCATGTGGAGCAAATTTATGGTTTTGCCCCCTGCTATCCTGTGATATTAGGTTACCAAATCTGATTTCTGCTTAGGTAACAAGACCCTGGAAGAGAAGCTTTATAATCTTTTACAAACTTTGTAGGACCAAGACAGTGAAAATAGGAGAGGTGGAAAAAAATATGAGCATTAGGGTTTCAGTAACTTCATAAGTATCACTTGTAGCAGCTCAGCAGCTTGCGTTTAGATGAGCTTTACTCAACTGCTTTTATTTCCCTTAGGGCAAAAGATTCAGTGAGCTTCTATCTCAATACTATTTAACTTTTGAAAATTGGTCCTTGCACCAAAAATATTTGATTTGCATATATGTTTTCTTTTCCTCCTGTGCAGTTAATTTCTGTGAAGCCAGTACTTACACAGTGCATATTTCTGAAAGCATTACCAAAAATCTTTGATGGATTATAGTGAGTAAATATGGCAACTCAGAAGGAAAATGCAAACCTGACACTTCAAATAATATGTGCTTCTTTCCTTTAAATTCTACTTCCCACAAACAAATATAATTTTTCTGAAAGATGTCGGATTATTAGACCAGATGAGAGGTTGATGTTTGAAGCCGGAACAGCATAGCTCAGGCAGCAGGAGCACAAACCTTTCCAGGCAGCTTTCTATCCCAAATGCAGAGAATTTAAGGCACACACCCTGAGTTGTATCCATATCTGTCTAGGACTGGGCTGTGAGTCAGCTAGTATTGATTAGGAGAAAACTCCAGGAACAAACTTGCCAACAAAGTTTTCAGGCTGACAAGCAGGTATTCTTTATTTGGGTGCCAGGAGACACGGGGGATAGCTCCTCCTAACGTGTGTCTCCGTATTGCTACACAAGCCGCCCTTATATAGTCACTGGGCATACATACATATTCATGAGGTTACGTATGGATTACATTATTTTCCAGAAAGTTCCCCACGTGTACAGAATAGTGGTGGTGGTCTCTGAGGGTCATTTACTTCTTCCAACAATCTTCATCGCTTCTGGCAGCCTTTGAAGCACACGCAGTAGATGCTTATACCATCTTAATCGGTTTGTTAGCACCACAGACATAATAATCCTCATGTCCTCCTACTTATCAGTTCGTTTAACCATAGCTCATCCTGGACACCTGCCTTTCTTGGATACTCCTTATCCTTGCATACTGTTCTTTTAGACTGTTTTCCTTAAAACTACGTCAACTATAACGTTTTATCTTGTACAAGAATTCTCAGTATGTTCTCTAGCTGTACTCTTTTTTTTTCCTATGTATCATGCACCTCAGTAATTTTCCATTGCTACTGTTACAAAGCCATCAAATGTAACATTACTTAAAACTGATTCCGAAGGTTTATATATTCCATTTTGTAAATTTGTGCCCCCCCCCCCCCCCCCTTCCCCCGGTATCTGCTCCTGAACAGCCTTTTGATAGAAAATAATCTATTCATTTCCTACTATTTAGCATTAGGATTCAGGATACTTTCCATCAGCTGTGGTTCCATGAACTGTCTCAGCTTCCAGAGACCTTGTAGGAGCAAGTTTTGCACAGCTGCTCCACACACCCTTTGCATTTCTTTCAAGGCATATGAAATATGTTTCTCAGGACATGATTAAAAGTCTTTCTGATAGCTCAGTGCTGATGCTTCTGCCTCCCATTTAAGAGATGTGTTTCTGCAGCTCTAGTGTAACTAAACCTAGCTGAATTTGGCATGAATAATATCAGCCACTTTGACAAGATTGTGTATATGAGTATAAACCACACGTTCTAAAAAGAGTAAGAACTAATTAAATAATTCATGGTCACTTTTAACTCTGAAAGACAAATATTTTACATGCAAACAGAAAACAGCACTGGATAGGGTCTCACAGCCACAATACAGTTTTAATTCCTAATGAGGTCATGTGCATGTGAGTGCTTCTCTAGTAAATGCCTATCTTTCTGCTTTTACAAAATTACAGGTAACACTTCAATAGCAATCTGGATGTGCTCCAGACAAGGGAAAACACCTACTTTAGAGCACCCCAAAATTCTGAATTGTCATGAAAATCTGGACTCCCTAGCATCACAGGTAATCTTAAATTCCTATTTAAACTGTGTCTGAGATTCTGCATCATTCCAAGGGGGGAAAGAAGAAGTGATAGGAAATTGAGGCAGGAAACATATATGTGTTACATTTCTTAAAACTTTGCAGAAAGCAAAATGAAGGACCAAAGCCTTTTTTCAGTGCCATTCTCACCATGTGCCTGCTTTGCAAATGGCCTGAATTTCCAGTGGTGGTGATTTTATTCTGATTTTGTCTGAACGTAGCATCCCATTTCATATTCCTCAACTGGCCAGTAATTTCCTCACTCAGGTTCTCAGTTCACAGCAAACACCTCTGAATGGAGGAAGAAATGGGCTACATTTGCTTTAAATAAGAAAAGTCCATTTAATAATGTATTTTTGCTTGACTATTGTATCCAGTGCTCCACCTGCTGGGATCCTTTGAGCTCAGTATTTTTTCTCAATACACAGACTTTACTAAACGGTTCAAATGCTAAATCTTCTCTAGATTAATATATACCACAAGTAGTACCTATTTATAATGCTAACAAGAGTGCAACGTCAGGATGCAACATAGGCTTATTCTGCTGCCATTAGCGTTTTGGGGTTTTGTTGTTGGAATTGTGATGCGGGGCTGCCATCTAGTGAGCCCAGGGATGCTAGGAAATGGGAGGAGAAGGAGGTGCTCTTGTTAGTGAACGAGAGCTCAGGTTTAAAAGGATTTTCTGCCTTTTAAATATCAATAATTGATTTGAATCCAAGGTCATGCTAAAAGATAGAAGTAAGAACAGTGAAAATAGGCGTTCATGATGTACTGTTTGTTCATGGTGTATAAGCACATGTTTTCAAATCAAATAATATAATCTCCAGGGGTAATAGATATAAATTTCTTTCCTCCCTATGCAATGTATTCACCTTTCTTTTCTACCATTCCAAGCTTTATGAACACTTCAGAGATGCATGGTTGAATTAATCTTGATTTCGATAGCTTCCCAACATAAAAATTTGCGAACAGTTCAGTTACTGAAGATATTCATTTAAGCTATTCATTGACTGGATTAGAAAAGAGATGACTTGATACCCTGTTTAGTTGGTCTTCACAGACTACAAAGGAAATTCTCCTGATGATAAGCAGGTTTTCCATCTCCTTAAGTCTTACTGTTACTTAGCTATACCTTCACATAACATACAGCTTAAGCCTCACCTTTTTTTTTTGTTTAGACTTTTAAGATGTTGTAGACATTTACACTGTACCTATTAAGTGCTAACTTACTCAAACTGGACCCAGCCAGTGCTTCTAGCAATTCTTATTAGTATCTCCAGCATCAGATTTTTTTTTTTTCTACATTTATTCCAAGCTGACACTATATACAATATACTGAAGTGAGGATAAGGTTCTCAGTGCAGGTTATGAGCACTGTGTTGAGAAGCACAACTATTCCAGATGAGATTTCTCAAGTTCCTCTGGTGGCTTTTCAAAAAATCCCATTCTGGTTATTTAAGAAATAGTGAAAGGTGTACAGAAGTTTATAGACTCAGATGCTCAATGAACTAAAGACAAAAGGGAGGTCCTGCTGATACATACAGTTATTTCACAGCAAGGTGTGGAGAACAATGAGGTCAGGCTCTTCTTCAAGGTGCACAGTTTTAGGAAGAGCAGTAACAGAGACAAGTGGCAACATGAGAAATTCCAATTAGATAAGAGAAAATTCTTTCCCTTGATGCTGGTCAAATACAAGCAGGTTTCTGAAGGAGGTTGTGAAAATTCAAAGTGAGCCCCTGAGCAGCCTGGTCTCAGTTGACCTTGCTGGGTTAGGGGACCTCCAAAGTACCCTTCCAATCCAAGGTACTCTGGAAGTCTATGAAATCATTCCCTAGGGAGAAACTGCAAATACTGCATACTTGACACAAACAGAAACAATTTAGGCCACCAATTTCTTGCATATTTTGATCTTATGTGAGAATGTTATAAAAGTAGTGACTCTTTTTCCTTTCCTCATTTTCTTTCTGTTGAATGGCATTTTCCTAACTGGTTGAAACTGTGAACTCCAGCAATATTGCAGCTATTGCAAGTAACACTGAAATCCTTACCTCCATGCCAGACCAACTGACCACAGAACATCTATGCTGCTGCAAGCATCTCAGTGCAGATTCTGAAAACACCCAATGTGTCAGAAGACTCTTAGGTGAGACTTAACTAAGACTAAAAATAAGACCTTTGTGGATTCATATCTGGGATATCAATTCTGTCCCCTCTCTGCCAGCAGAAGGAACAGTTCTCAGAGCTGAGTGTAAATTTGTTTCTTACCAGGTGTTTAGACTGTTAGATATATGTTAGACTTGCATATACCTGAAATTTTAATATTAACATTGTTGGATGTTTATCAGGCAATCCTTATGGTTTAAATTAATACACGTGTGGTATTTATGAACTCATTGGTGCAAAGTCTGTGTTTTCTCAAATGGCATCCTGTGCTTGGTGTACTCTGTAGTGCGTACTTTCAATCAATGCTTATGAAGTGTTCTTTGTCCATCCACTATGTAGCACATGGGGTGATTTATTTTAATTGCATTTGAATACTGCCTTTTTTTCCTTCTTGTCTCAGATATCTGTGGCAGCAGCGGCTACAGTAAATCAGTTCTTGGATGCCAATGAAACAGAATTCAACCAAAATAATCTCGTCAATGTTACAACAAAGTAATTTTAGCTTTTGCCATTTTTTTTAGATGTAGCAAACTGCATTTTCCCTTCTGTTTCAGGATGAAAGCAGTTCATGGACAAGTCAAGACACTTTTAGTTTTCAAGTCCAATATGGAATTTCATTGATTCAGGAGATTTATACTGGCGTAAACAATTCTGGATTGATTTTTCTGCTTTGGAGAAAGGATAAGAACAGGGAATGAGGAAAAGTTCCTGCTGGATAACCAAATCAGAGAGGAAGCCGGAAACTGGAACTGTAGCCATATCTTAACAAATAATGGTAACTTTTTTCCCACTCTTTATTTCAATGCAGCCTCACAAAAACAACGGAGGAATTTTCTTTGACTTCCAACATCTCACAGACCAATTTCGCAATCCGGTCTGCTCCACTGAAATTAAGCTCCTCTATAATTCTGTTTTCAGCACAGAGGGGTAAGCCTGTGTGTGTTGTTGGATTAACCTAGACAAGGCAGTATGTACCATAAATTCTAATGCACCCACTGCTAATTTTTGCAGATACAACACCGGGATATTATCAGCCAACAAAACTAGAAATACAGGAAAATGTCCCTGGGCTTATTGCTGATGTCAGTACTGAAGTTCATATACCGTTCAACATTATAGATCACAGTAAGTTCTTTCTCCTGCTGAAGACTGTGCCTGGGAACATTTTGAATGAATATCCACTAAAAATCTCCTTTGGAAAAAAAGCCCAGAACAGTCCAAACCCTTAGCCAATATAAACAATTACATTCTTTTTATGCATGGTGATGCCATATGGCACAAGAAATACACGTGCTGGATGAGATGTAATGGCTAGAATGCTTTTGGTGTTTGGGACTTTTTAATTTATTTTCTAAAATTGAGAATGTAATGAAGCTTTGACATTAAGAGTTAGTACATATTTACTTTGCCTGAAATCCAAACATCAATCATTTTAACTAAAATTACTATTACTGTCAGGTGTCAGCCAGGACATACACATCTTCACACCTACATATTGGAATAGTCTTTAATGGCATGGTCATACAGGGTTTTTCCAGAATCCATTACTTACCCTCTGCAGTGCTTAGAGGATAAACTGGTGTTGCCCTGAAGAAAAAAAAGCAAAACAACCAAAAAAACCCCACAAACCAAACTAAACCAAAACACAACAGAAAATACCCAAAAAACCCCAGCAGCTTGTAGCTCCTCTGCTTCATTTGCTGCAGAAGCTGGTGAGTGTTGAGGAGTTGAGGTTTGAACATGCACATTCCTATGTCATAATAAAAATAACAAGTTTCAGACTGGGCACTTGAAACCAGCAGACTTGTCCTCAGTCTCTCTGAGGACATCGCAGCACAAGAGTATAATGAAGGTGAAGTTTGTGGAGCACTTAGACATCAGAATTCTGAACATCATTCATATACTAGCCCACAGGGAAATGAATAATTCAGTCCACTCACTAGGACTAGAAAATAATCAAAGGGATATATCAGGTAGCCCCCCACACACAGCAGTGACAATAAAAAAAATACAAACACTGAATAACTCATTAACTGGTCACTGTCATTTCTTTTAACTGTTTCAGACAATGACCCTGTGGAAAAAACAGTGTAATCAAGTAATTGAAGCCTTGAACATAACACTTTTCCTCAAGAGAGCTAGATTAAACACACAGCTTGTCTTAATAAAAAATATATTTCTTCAATATTAAGTACACAATCATGACATTCCATGTCATGTCATCTCCCTTGATGATCAAATCAGAGAGAGATCAAACCAGTCTTTTTTGATCTTAAATAAAAAGTACAAAATCAAGAACAAATATATATAGATACATATATATATAAAATATATATTTATATAAACCAGGATTTTTACTTCCTCAGTTGAATAGCAATTAATACTAGTAATTTAAATCACTTAGATGAAATCTCTCTAGTTCAATAAGAGTGCTGAAGAAACAGAATCCAAAACCTGGATCTGAAGACAAAAGCCCAGCCAACCTCTTATACTCTGACTTCCTCCTAACTGTAAATGTCCTCGGTGTTAAAGTTTCTTTTTTAGTGTTACTAAAAACTAAAAGCCTGCCCATTTGGAGTGTGTGCATGTATTGGGATTTAGTATATTATTTTCCTCACTACCAGTATTTTTCCCCAGAAATCACAGTAAGAGAAAGGCAGTGATTATTTTCATGCTCCACCTCAGCAAAAATTGAAGATGACCCTCTTGAGATCCAGGTCGGAGCAATCCCAGGCACAGCTACAGGCTGGGCAGTGAAGAGATTCAGAGCAGCCCTGTGGAGAAGGACTTGGGGGTGCTGGTCGGCAAGAAAATCAACATGAGGGGGCAGTGTGAGCTCAACGAGAAAATAAACACGAGGCGACAGTGTGAGCTTGCAGCCCAGAAAGCCAACTGTATCCTGGGCTGCATCAAAAGGAGCATGACCAGCAGGTCGAAGGAGGTGATCCTGCCACATTACTCTGCTCTTGTGAGACCTCACTTGGAGTATTGTGTGCAGTTCTGGTGTCCTCAACATAAAAAGGACATGGAACTGTTGGAACAAGTCCAGGGGAGGGCCATGAGGAGGATGAGGGGACTGGAGCACCTCCCGTATGAAGACAGGCTGAGAAAGTTGTGTCTGTTCAGCCTGGAGAAGAGAAGGCTGCGTGGAGACCTCATAGCAGCCTTCGAGTATCTGAAGGGGGCCTATAGGGATGCTGGGGAGGGACTCTTCATTAGAGACTGTAGTGACAGGACAAGGGGTAACGGGTTAAAACTTAAACAGGGGCAGTTTAGATTGTATATAAGGAGGAAATTCTTTCCTGTTAGGGTGGTGAGGCACTGGAATGGGTTGCCCAGGGAAGCTGTGAATGTTCCATCCCTGGCAGTGTTCAAGGCCAGGCTGGGCAGAGCCTTGGGTGACGTGGTTTAGTGTGAGGTGTCCCTGCCCACAGCAGGGGGGTTGGAACTAGATGATCTTAAGGTTCTTTCCAACCCTAACTATTTTATGATTCTATGAGTCATGGGAAAAGAAGCTCTTCTCTATTTCTTAAACGGATTCTAAATAAACATCTAAACAAAAATCTGCTGTAAATACTGGATGTGTGAAACAGCATAGTGTAGGCTTCTTCAAAGGCACCAGCTTCTCTGATATATGCTATTCATACCTACTTTTCTGTTTGCCTTGTGAAGGTTCATCAGGTAATGGAAGAATTGGTTTTGTCCTGTATCAAACAACAAACTCTTCCAGTCAAGGATTTATCAGACTCGCCATAGTTTCTCTAGACAAATTGTCTCTGGCAACATTGATGGTGGAAGAACCAGCAGCACTGAAACAGCCTTCAGTCCCATGGTAAGCTCCAGTAAGAAAAGTGGTGTTAAGTTTGAACCATAGGCTTCCCTTGCTCTACTACCTATCTTCAGACCTTAGGGAAAGACACTCAAGCAGAGGGTTCCTTTTTGCATACTGCCTTGATTTCTGTCAATAAGTTGTTGAGAGAGCTTGTGGGATGCATAGGTGATATAAGTGAATAAAACATTTTTCAACTTTAGTGTTTAACACCTGGTGTTACTGATTCAGTACTGCTAAACTAGGATGTTTGCAAGCAAAACTGTATTCCATAAGAAGTTATAGGTATACCAGAGTGGATTTGTCCTTGGGTACATCAGTCCTAAAGCAAGAATTAAAAAAGCCAGGATGCTAGAAGACATTTTTTCTTTCCAGAAGACTATCACTATTATTGGAATAAATAAAAAGTCAACATGACTGGCACAGCCCAACACATCTATCAATGTGGGAAGTGTTAATTTTTCATACCATCTTCTAACTCCTGTTTCCAGTTAAAATCATTGTGCATTTTGTTTTGACTTCCTTACCCAGGAACTGATTCCAGATGTCACTGCTTTCTTGCAAGAAATGCTCTATGTGAGTGCCCATTCGCTCAAATAACCGAAGTTTTAGATAATATATACACATTTAGAATGGTTTCTCCAGAAAACAGTAAATGGCTTCTTCTTCTAATATTTAAGAAAGGTTTTAAGCTCAAATACATGCACATGATAGATCACTAATCATCATTTGATAGATCACTAATCATCATTATGGATCCATACACTTAAGTGGTCTGGAAAACACATGAACATTTTAAGGAAATCACTAAAACAAACTTCTAATTATTTTACTTCTTTTATTCCTCATTTTTAATTGAATTACCTAGTACTGTCAATAGTTGCTTTCACCACTTATTTGTATTTCAAGCTGCTCATTGCTTATTAAAAAGCAGTTTTAATTGCAGTACCCTGCAGAGCTATGTTGTCTGAAAATGACTGCAATGCAGTTTGACATATGACTGCACAAGCACTGCAATACTGCAGGACAGGAGGGGATAGTTCATGGCATTCATCGTTGTTTACTTCCCTTTCCAGTGTGGATTCAGCTTCGGTTGGCAATAATTTAATACTACTAATATCAGAAAGCTGTTGTTTGGGTTATGCAGAATTTATTTGGCAGTTTTTTAATGCCTAGCCTATGTGCATCTGAACTGTACTTACCTGAATAATTTACAGAAATGGCTAATTTCTTTGGCAATCTTGACTGAGAAAGGCACACAAAGTTAACTTCAAAATGCCAAATTATGCTGTTATTAGTATCGTTCATCAGGTTTACTGAAAACTCTATAAATCCCTAAGTAGTTGGCAGCTCCCTTTTCAGAGGACAATTATCAGTACACACTATTTGCTATTGCATACCTGTTTATGTTCCTGTAGCCACTTTTTCTCCTTGCAATCCCAATCTATAGTACAACATATGTGAACTGCAGCTGTGTGATCATGCCTGTGTCTTTTGGGACTATACTGTCAACGCCTGGAGCACAGCCAGCTGTGCAAAAGGAAGAGACCAGTTCTTGAGATACAGGTGTATTCACACAATTGATTTTGCTGTCCTGATGGTAGGGTGTTGTCCTGTCTCAAATGGTGAGATTTTGTGTTTTTTCTCTTTCATTTATTTGGTTGTTTCCAACTGTTAAGACCAGCATGCTGATGTAAAGGCATATATGCGTCGAGCTAGAATGCCCAGGATTTAAGATGCTCCCATGTACTTGTTTCTGACCTGTGACACAGCTGGTACTGGGACATGTGATTTGTCCCCAGGCTGCCGGAAAGCTAAGCATATAGGTGAGTCCTGGCTTCCTCTGACACACGTTGTGGCTGTGCCCACCTGCTGGCACCCCAGCAGCAGGGAAGGACTGGTACAACTCGTTCCCCCTGCTCAGCTCTGGTAGCCTCCAGCTCTGCATCTCTGCTGCTACAGCTGATTGTTGAGTGTACATCTAGAACCAAAAGTGCCCCAAGACCAATAGTAGAGAGCTTGGGATCTGAATTAGCTGTGACACTGCCTTGTGCTGGCTAAATAACTCAAAAGTACCTAGCATTAACTACTTACTTTGCTTATATGTTTATAAAACACAACCTATCTGTTACCAGTAAGTTTCAAATATTGTCCTCTTGTATTAACAAGGCTATTTTGGAATGACTGTCTCTAACATTCCTTATTCTTTCAGTATTTGTTTCAGCTTGTCTAAACAAAACACTCCCTGAGTAAAATCACGTCTGTGGTCACTGACTTCAGCAGTGTCAGGATTTTAAAGTTTCTTTTTACTCTGTCTCCAGAGAACAGCATTTCCATATTTTTAATATTTACTTGTTTCTGCATTTCTCTTTATCTTACACATGTCGTTACTGCACAAAATGTCCATATTATAGAGAAGATTCCCATCCATTCATGCAAAGATAACAGTATTTGCTTTTTCACTAAACACATTTATATTAACCTGCTGCTTTATTGTCACTATACAAACAAAGACTGATTTTGATTTGTATTCTTTGTAACATCTTACTTTAGACCTTATCCTCAGAAGCCAAAATTCACAACGCACATCAGTACAAAAAGTTGAAGCTACTTTTTTCAGTCTGTGTCACCTTGCATTTTTCTCTGAATATTTTAATTTGCTATTTTGTTAAATATTTGAATGACATTGTGGAGTCTCTGTGGAGTTCTGCACAATCTTTCCTAGTTTTGAGGTCCATAATAATTCTGTGTGATCTGAAAATTCTGGCAGTGACTAGCAGCAGTCATAACTTCACTAAAACATTTTATTTTCTATGTGCTATCAGAAACACAAATTTTAGAAATAAATCTATCTCTTCTCATCCTATAACTGATGCAATTTGCTTCCTAGGCCTTTCAGATCAAACATAAATATGCAATGCCTTTGGAGTATATTTCTTACATTGGTGTCGGATTGTCCATAGCTGATGTGATCATTTCCATTTTATTTCAAAAATTCAGTAGGTAAGAGGGAAGATGTAAAACTGCAAGTATTTAATTCTAAGTTACAATATTTTGCTTTTTATGTATTTTGAGAAAAACAGAATAGCGAGTTTGAAACATATTGGTCACCTACATTAAACTTTAACCTATTTATGCTAATATTTTAATGTGAGGATACATATATATGCATATATGATTATTATTCAATAAATCCACCTTCAAAAATGCAAGCTTTGAAAAGAAATGATACCACAGAGTATGGAAGACTCCAGTATGGTGAAAGGCCAAGCCTTTCACAGGAAACACTGGGCATGGCCACTGACAAGAAAAATCTTTCCATTGCTTTGACAGGGCTTTCTGTTACCTATTTGATAGTTTCTATACTCTATTGCTTTGTTTATAAACTGTCTGTAGGGAACAGCTGATTTCAAAGCACCATGATTATATAGCAATGTAGGTTATGTGCACTGCTTGTGCTACAGTTTTATTGTGACTTAATTCAAATACAACTGCAGCAAGTTTCCTTGATGGACATGCCTGTGATAAATGGTGTCGTGTGATTCCCCCTTGAACAAGGAGAAAAGTATTGCCAACAGAGTTGTAGTTATTGTAGATTAATGTATGTTTCTCATTCTGCTTGCACTAATGTAGGTTTGGAGCAATTCCATCAAGGTCAATGTATTTAAGATTGTAGGAGCCTCCAGACTCTGCCTTTTAAAGGCATTTATAAGACAGAGTTTGGAAGTGGAGGTTTATTATTCTCTTAGACCTTGAAGATTGTTTAGAAATATTTGTCTTATCCTATTTCACCTCTTAACACTTAAGGATTCTAAAAGGAGCAGTGTGGAAAAAAGAAAATGCATCCCAACTGCTGTTGTAAAAAGCCCCAGTCCTAAAATGTACTGGGTATTCTCTGTTCTAGCTGAAACTGGACAAAACTGATGGATTTATTAAGTTGTCTGACAGTAATGATGGTGTAAAATTCTGCAAACAAGTTTCTTTCTGCTTTGTCTCTGTATTAAAGACATACTCTACCCTGCTTTTAATATCAATGGAAATGAAGAAATATTTTACAGTTTTAATTATTTTGCTTTACTTTTTTTCTACTATATTCCTACCAATAGGAAAACTCGAAAGTCATCTGTGATCTGGATGTTAGTGAGTCTCTGTTCCTCTATGCATCTTCATCACTGAAATTGAAAGCCGAAATGCCAGGAATCACAGCAACAGTACTACCAGTACTACCAGTCACTACCAGCAATACCTTCCTTATGACACCATCAGTTAACACCTTACTCACATCTGACTTGGCAGATCCTCCCACAGACTCCTGGTGTACAGCTGTGGCTGTCCTACTGCACTATTTTTTGTTGGTGACATTTATGTGGTCAGCACCCAGTTCTGCACAGCTGTACTTCCTGCTGCTTAGAGCCATGAAGCCCCTGTCTGAACGCTTTCTTATAACCATGTCAGTAATCGGATGGGGTAAGATTTAAAGTCATATGGCACTTAAAGTGATAGCTTGTTCACTGGAACAACACCACAAGTCTGTTGTGTGCTGGAGAAATTTTCACAGCAATTAAGGCTTTCAACAACCTGCTTCTGTGAACCAAGTAAAAAACCCTTTCAGATATGGTCATTGCATAGATGGACTCCAATTCTTCATTTAGGTATCTGTGAGATTCCTCATGACCTCAAGCCAGAGCCTTGCATACATCCAAAAGCAAGGAGTGAATGACATGAATTGGTACATATTATTTATTAATAAGCAAAGAGCACATTCTTAAGTCAGAACAGCAGTTAGCAGCACTGCAAGCTGAAAAGGAACTACTTGGAGGACTGAAGAATGCAGATAGATGCCCACTAGGTAAAGTAAAAATCCTCCAAGAAATACTTCCAACACAGTGTATAAGAGTGGTCGGTCAGTGGTCAGCTTGTGCGGTGTGTTGTTTCTGATGGCACCTACCAACCAGTTTTAGATCCTGACTGTTTCATTATTATGTTTTGCATTTGGGTGGAGGTAGAACCAATTCCTCTAAAACTGTAAGAATTCGGACTGCATATGCAAGCCAGCAAGTGTTCAGCAAAAGCTGCCTGGCTATGCATCACTGTGCTTCATTTGCATGATAGTACAGCATTAGGTTCTTCACTGTGTCCTGTGACTAGTTGCACATGTCTAAAACCACATGATTCTGACTCACTGCTTTTCAGATCTACTTTGAGAGCACAGCAAATACTTGGCAGTCTGAAAGATCTCTACTAGGGCTGAAGGAAGAACAGACTTTAAGCAGCATGTTTATTTCCCAGCTCAAAATGTGTGAAGGAGGATCCTTCTCATGTGACATGCTGCTTAGCAAACAGGCAGGAGACATGGAAGACAGGAAGTGAAGCAAAGGCATTGAGGAGGCAAGCCCACGCTGCCATGCTTCTCAAAGAGCAAAAGTTATGCTTTGCATCAAGCTGGTATAAAATGTAGCGGTGAGTGGTGCAGGATTTTCTTAAGTTTCTCATTACTGACAAGAGGATAGGATTGTGCAGCTGTGATAAGGGAGTCAGCTACAGCACAGGAAGGAGTTTGCTCAGTCACCACTGGTGTTGTCTCTGGAAGCTCTGTTGAAGCTCTTTAATGGCAAAAATCAGCAAGTCCTGGATGTGAGCTGTCCTCAGAAAACTAGTGCTCACAACACTCGGTCCTGCCTATAGGCTGTAGAAAATCCATGTAGTTTAGTGCAAGGCAGATGAAACAGAGCTCTTAAAATCTATGGAGTTATGGAGTTATAGTTTACGGAGGCCATAAGCTATTTGCATGCGCCCATGCAACCAAAGGAACAGTAAATTGCTAATGTCTCTCCTGTTAATTAGTAATCTCTGCTGTAGTAGTTGCAATAACACTTGGAGCTACTTACAGAGAAGGAAAAGCTTTAAACTACAGGAAGACAGGAAAAATTATAAGTTCATGTATTATTACAAAACTTACTATCTCACACCTTTTGTGATGGCTCATTATCAGTACAATTCTAGATTTACTGTTGGTATACGGCTTGGTGCATATAAGTACTTAAAAGAAGACAGAACTTTTCATTCAAACTAAACATTCACTATGAGAAATTGCAGTTTCTCCTAACTAAGGATTTAGGGAACTAGAACCACATTTGCCTTGAATCCTCCTGCAAGATCCCCTGTGACTTTAAATGGAAGCTGTAGATGTCCTTAGCCTAACTGAAATTCAAGACCTTCACTTGAGTGAGTAACTGCATTTCAGTACCTAAACTTAATCCTCCCATTTATTTAAAACCTTTCTGGCCAACTTAACAATATCCCTATTTACCCTATGTTTTTGATATTGATATTGATATTGATATTGAGTGCCTACATACCAAAGCAGGCTACAGTGTGCCCTGGTGACAGCAGATGATACAGAACAAAGATAGACTTCTTTTGGAAAAACAAACACAAACCCCCCTTTTACATGGCCATTTTACACCCACTTATGATACTCATTTAGGGAGTGTTGAATTCTAATTTAAGATGATTTAGCAATAAAATAAAAAAAGATGTAAGGATTATTACAGGATAACCCTGTCCTTAAACTGCCCCTGTTTCTGTCTCAACCTTTGCTCATTGGGTATCCCCTATTACTTTTCTCTTCAGGTCTATTATAACACATACTTTAAAGATAAACTTGCATATGGTGGCCAGGTATCTATTTGGTTAGCTATATTGCACTGTATTATATTTCTCTAGGCAGTTCATTTTTAATAAATCATTTTGTGTTTCTCAGAGAAAGAAAAACATGATTGAAAGTTCTCAAGGAATGGTTGCCTTTCAGAGACAGGTTAACAAAACTGAGGAAGTCCTATGAGGTCTTTCAGGATGCAAGCGGAATACTTTTTTTTTTTTGGTCTTCTGAATAATGTGTCTAACAAATCTTTTGAATTGGCCTCTCTTTATATGTTAAAAGTTGCTGGCTTGCAGCACTGTATCAAAATCAGAATTTCAGTGTGAAAAAGCCCATGTTGTGGTCGTTCTTCATGCCAGTAGCACTCATACTCCTGTTTAACATCATCACTTTCACCACAATCAGTGTCTCTGCGATATGGAAGTAGAACAAGAATTTGACAAGGTAAGACAGCATAGGACTCCTCAGATCTTTTGGCAAATGTGTTGCTTGGTCTCATGTCACCAGCTCAGACTTTCTTATCACGAACTCAGGCTTCTGATGAAGTGTTTTATTTAAGGAAATGCATATTTACAGCAGTCAGAAAATTAATTCACTTCACTTCAATGAAGGTTACCCCCAGTGAGAGCAGAGCTGTGTCCAGCCAAATGAGAATGGAATGATTTCTCAGCACATCTGAATGTCAGACCAATTCTTTGCAGCTTTGAAGCAATTTACTTGCTCAGTTTTACAACAACACTCCATGTCTTCTCAGAGGCTGTGTCACAAACTCTGCAGTGCATTGTACTACTTAGAAAAGGGATTGCTTTAATTTTAATCCCACAGAACTGATGTGTTCAACAAACCTTTGTGCCATTTCTTCATTCCTTTTATGTATAATTTGCACAGCTGGGGCAAACAAAATACCTTATCTCTGCCTCCCCTCAGGCTTGAGAGAAACAGGACATCCAGACTTCACTGGTCGCTTATTCTCATAGTGAAAATTAAGCACATTTGGATTAAAATCATAAGCATTCTAAAAAGTTTATAACAGCTAGCATGCTAATTTTCAATGCTTCTTGTTGCCTTGGTAATCCTTACTTTTTTTTTTAAAGAATCATTCAAGCTACATACTCGAAACACAGATTATTCTGATAAACTTGGTTAGATTACTTTTTCTGAATTTCTTCTCTGGATGATAGGTCAAACAAATGTAGGGACGTGTTTGTTTTCAACTCACCTGAATAACACATCTTTGCAATATAACTCTGAATAAATAGAAACTTTAATGCTCAAAAGTATATTAAAAGAGAAAGGTCTAATAACTTTTTAATGTGTGTTTCTGGGAATAAAAATGATTCATTTATGAAAAAGATGATTAGCACTATCTCTACAGTGGTAGTGCTTGGCATCACCTGGATGATAGGCTACCTCACATTAATAAGTCATGAAGAAACAAGTCTGTTTTTCAGTTGTTTCACATTTTTAATGCTACCCAGGTAAAGCATTTAGTAATTCTGAGACTAATACCAGAGATAATGGAAAAAAAGAAAGAGTCAGATCTATTTGTTCTATAGGTTGGTAAGTTAGTATAGCCTGGGAACTTGTTCGAAAGCAGTTACAGGGATTCAGAATTTTTGTTCAGAAAGGGATGCTATCTTTCTGCTCTGTCACTCATAAAATTCTTCCTGTTGTATAAATCAACGTGAGATTTTATTTCAAGGTCACCACTGAAAAGACCTTCCTGTCCGAGTGGCATCTCTTCTATCAGATCATAGATAAAACCATATTCAGAATGAATATCAGGAAAAAACCTCTCTATCAGCTGTGGGAAAGTCTCCCAGGGAAGTAACTGGAACTTCACTGCTTGAGACCTTTCACGATGATCCTGGATAAAAGCCTATAGGAAAGCACCTGCCTCTGCCCACAGTCCTGCTGGATTATTGGCTTTCTAGTCATATACAGCATACGAAGTACAAAGTACGTGGATCAATGGATCCTTCATTATTACACCACTAAATATATTCTACAAAATAGCTAATTGGAAATATGTGAAAATCCCCCCATACTCAAATGTTGTTTATTACCAGTTTGATTTAAGGAAAACTGAGGGCCCATACACTAGTGTGGATCAGATCTGCAAACTCTCTGTGCAAAAAGTCTTGAAGTGATTATTACTACACTGAATGGATTACACCCATCCTGATCATGATTCCTGTGTTCCTGGAATCGTGATCAGGGAACAGAGATCCTTTTATTTAGAACCATGAGCGGTTTTTTTTTGTTTTTTTTTTTTTTGTTTTAACCCCAAGATACTCCCAATTAGTCCTTGAAATGAGAATTTATAAGAATAGAACAAGTATAGAAATTCTGAAGTTCTGCTTCTACCCATATTCTGACTGAAGTGCTGACAGTGCACACCAGCCACATGTAATGCTTATAGTATGCTCAAGCAGGTCTTACCTTCATCTTACCTAGGTACATGATCCTGAGACATAGCTAACCCATTACAATGTGCAAATGAGGCGACTATAGTTGCAAATCTATAGTTACATGGAATATCTTTACTATTCAAAGTACTTCTTGTATTTCAAGGTATTAATGTCATTGTTAGTGGTACTGAAAATTGTTTCATGGTTGCTTTTCAAGACAAATAATACTGACTAATCTTTTCTGGGTTTAGAAGGAAAATATGAACTCCACATTTTAATTTACAGGGAGTTCAGATCTGTATTCTGTACACTTTCAGATCACCAGCCTTCAAGAACAAAGTTTCCAAGGTGTTTCCTTTTATTTGGGTGCCAAGGGTATCCCCGTATCTGCATTCAAAAACTTACTATGCTTCAAAAGCACAGCCTGCAAAACTCACAGGAAACTCTCAGATCAACACAGACTTTATCAGAGAACATTTCCTTGTCTACTTTCCCTAACTAAAGTTAGGAACCTGTAATTTGTGAAACATAATCCTGCATTTTTCATGGTTTGCTTTATGTAGATCTCACGGATATCTTGAATGACATTATACTACTCCAACTGCAGGTGGCTTGAAACAGATCATAAGCCAAGACCACCAGGAGTCAAAAACAGGACCACACATTAGCAAGACAGTGTGAGTGTTATCCCACAGTGCAGTGCTAGATCCTCTGGCTGCTACTTGTACTGCATGTCACTGAGGAAGGTCTTTGAAAGGAGCTGAGGTTATTACAGATTTATATTACAGTACAGGTGCACAGAAATTGTGCTATTCATGCGCTTCTCATTTTTCAGGCCTGTTGAACATGTTTATTTAACCTATGCACTGTAGATCTCCTCTCCCTTTTGTAAGAACAGTTTTAATTTAATTAGAAACCAAAATAGAAACAAACAAACAGCACAGTACTTATAGTTCTTATAGGCTCTGGGCCCAAATTCTATTTACTACTTCAGTAATATGTTGGCTTGGTCTTTCCAGAAGAAAATCTGTATCTTACAATGGTTTTCTACATTTCTTAGCTAAAACGTCTTTATTATAAATTGTAATTAGACAAAATATTCTGTTTTCATATGGCAAAGTGGAGAAAAAAAAAAAAGAAAGAGTGAGATGCTTGAAAACAGGCTAGGAAAGAAGTTCTTTGTAAGTATGAAACATAAACCCTACCATATCGCCCTCAGTGATGTGTGATAGGAAGCCTGTTTGCTTTTGGAGGCATACTGGTGTTACCAGAGTAGCAGCTGGAGTGCACGTTAGCACCCTGCTCTGAACTGACTTTTTTTTTGTCCTTTGGTTTTATGGAGACCTCGGAAGAGAGGTCTCTTGACCTATGCATTAAGAGTTTGGTTTCTAAACTTAAGCTACAAGTAAATACAACCCTCTCCCTTCTCCACCCACCTTTTCTTGATACTATTCAGTACAGAAAGGTTGAAAGCAATGTCAAAGGGAGAGAAGAGTTTCTGGATGTTGAAGTGAGGAGCAAGGGAAGTGTATGTTCGCTCGAGTACAACCCGTGCATGAAGTGAAAGCAGCTCCTCCCACCTGATGACTGAGCAAAGTGGCAAGGCTCACTGCAGTGGGATCTTGTCTAACAAATGGGAACAGTTATGCTGACTCATCCCATTCTTGCCTGTGTGAGAAAAAAACCCTAAGATATTTAGACATGTAATTTATTAAAAAAAAACCCAACCAAACTTATTTCTTTATTCTGTCCTCTCATATTTGTATGTTTTGCTATGTCTGATTTTAATAATAAGACATCGTTGAATTTTCAATAATCTGGTTAAGTGTGGTCAGATTTACCTCCTGCTTTTTTTTTTTTTTTGAAAATGAACATGGTGTCTTTTGAGAACTTCCAAGCTGTTCCAAATAAAGTCATGGCATGATCAAATGCAGTGGCTGAACATTTAGCACCTCTGAATACAGCAGGCATCTTATATAAAACTTTTTGAATCTCTCCAGAGAAGTGTTTCAGCTGTCCTGAAAAGTTCTCTGCATCTTAAAAATCCATGTTCTCCTTATGAAGCATAAATTAAGGGTTCTCTATCGATAAGTCTCCAAAAAGTGCACTCACATCAGATACAAGGCTGAAGCTCATCACCACTGATCGAGAAAAAGCAAAGAAGGTAATTAAAAGTTATCTAGGAAGGGTAATTCATACTACTTTTTACTAGTTACATTAACATCCTATATGTATTACAGATGTAAATAAAATACTGTTATGGCCAACACTGAGAATGTCTCACATAACATGAAACATTTTCAGCATAAAAAAATCACACAAAACTCCACAAAATAAAATACGTTTTGTTTTTTTTTTTTTGGTTATTTTTTTGATCCAGGGAATTCTGAGTTCAAAAATGGGTCAAAGGAATATGATCTTTTTCATGATATATGCTTAACTGTCACAGGAACAATAGTTCAGCTCTTATCTACACATGGAATATAGTGAACCTAATAATGTAGCGAACTTTGGTACTCTTTGTGATGTGTAGGCTTTAAGGATTACAAAGTTTCTTGTTAACACTTTGGAAACACTAGAGAAGGGCTGAACCATCAGTACAAAGGTACGAAATATGAGTGGCAGAGAGTGTAATGGATGGAGAACTCCTGTTTTCAGGTTGCTTTCCTGTATTCTTAGAAGCAAAAGCACTTTTTTTGCATTGAAAATGACCCTATTATTTCAAATTTTTTTTCTAAAACTTATCAACCTCTTGAACCACACCCCCCTTCCTCATCTTTAATAGGGAAAATTCAGGAAATCAGTTTCAGATTCCTGTTTTTCCCCTTAGGTGGACAAGCACCTAATGTAAGGTGGGAGGCTGAGGGGGATAGCCTTGAGTGCCTGGAAGGACAGTCTGTCAGGGCAACGACTAATCGAGGACGGACACACTCTCAGCGTCATGCTGCCGGCATCTGGCGAGCACGCTGGAACTTTATGTCCGATTTTCCATTCCCGCACCGCCATCTTCTGCGGGCCCAAGGTGACGTTTCGAAACAAACCCCCTCTCACAGAAGACTCCTCTCACCCCAGAACCAGCTCACACACACCGTCCGCTCCCTGGGTGCCAAAGGCAGGCGCTCGGCCCGGTGAGGGAGGTGGAAGGGCTGGCCCTCCCTGACACTCACCAAACCCGCAACCCGCTCTGCCACAACTCCGCCAGCGCTGGGGCTGACGCGCTGGTCCACGGGAGAGGGAGGCGGGGCCGCGCTGCCGGAGCATGCGCGCTGCGGCGCTTGCCGCTGGAGTGCGCATGCGGATAGCTCGCGCAGGACCGGCAGTTGCAGCCGTTCCTGCAGCTCTTTCTTTTGCCTGCCACGTACGGGTGGTGGCGGCCGCGCCCGGCCTCCGATTCTGCCGGTGCCGGGGGTGTCCACCGGCGGGACCGCGGAGAAGCCAGAGTAAGAAAACGGGGCTGCTCACCCCGCGCTGTTGTCGGGGGAGCCGCTGCCGCGTGTGCGATAGGCGTCGGGAGGGGTGGCTGCGGGCTGGGGGTGAGCCTTCGCTTCCGCCCCTCGGTTCCAAGGGCAACGCGGTCCCTGGCAGAGAGGCGGGGAGACCCCTTGCTTCCCTCTGGGAGCGTCTGAGGCAGGCTGGAACTGCCGCCTGGGCTTTTCGGCCTGGGGACACGGGGTGAGGGCTGGCAGAGGTCTCCCGTCGCTCCCTCATGTCGCAAGGCTCTTGCATGTCAACCCCTGCTCACCAGGCCTTGTCCCCTTTGGGAGCCAGAGGAACTGCAGACTCCTCGCTTACCGACAGGGAATAGCTATGATTTCTGCTCCCCGCTGAGTCGGTCCTATGCTTTTCAGAACTAGAGAAAACCGTAAGAGCTCTTCTTTCTGCTCCCATCCCCTTTGCCCTTTGTCTTGGGAAAAGTCATCACTTTGGTGAGTGGGGTTTGGGATGCAGTGCTGCTTGGCCCTGTTTCTTGATGCTTCACCTTGTTCTTTTCCCTGTTTTGACAGAGGAGAAAGTGAAGCAGGAATGCCTGTTCTTCCCTTGCTTAAGCAAGGCTGATTTTCTCAGGCTGCAATGCAAAAAGGGTAGTGAAATCCAACATGGTTATGATGTCATGGCTTAAGAAAGGATCATGAAGTGACTGACATAGATTGGACAGTTACCATTTAGATTGGTGTGTGGTGTGAATAGAAAGTGAGCTGAGAGGAAACGATCTGTACCTCCAAAATGTACGTAGTACCTCAGGAAGGCTAGAAAGATGTCAGTGAGATTCTTATTAAAAATAGCCTCTCTGAAACAGGAAAATGATAGTGTATTATTTTTGTTTGTTTGGTGTTTTCCCCTCAATAAAGTAGACACAGTGATTGCTTCTGTCAAAAAGCTCATTTGTGTGTAATCTGGATGTCTTTGCTGGAAAACTCAAGTTATCCATTCATCTGTGTCACAGTGAGGGAAGCAAAGCTTGAGTGCTGTGTAATTTAATAAGTAGAACATTGTACATACTTCCCTGTAACAGTTGCAATGTTTAGAATCTGTCTCTTAAATTCTGAAGCCTTCAAGCAGAATGGAGAACAGCTGGACAAAAGTGCATTTAAATGCAACCTTTTCTTAATTATTGATAGACACAGTGGATTTCTGCAAGTAACACTGGTAAATAAGACATTATAGGTCTGCAAGTGCATTGTAGTAGTAGGTTTCCTTGCACAAAGATACAAGTTATGCATTTGGTCTGTTGAAAGGCCACAGGAGCTCAGGTATGTCCACAGAAATGTGTATCTTTAGGAATTACAGATGAGGTTCAATTCTTACTGTTGTCGGTTTCCAAGTAGCTTACACTGTAATGCTAAAGAAGCAATACCAGTACCCTGCTCGTAATGCTTAAACAACACAAGATGGTGGCTAAACGAACTCTCTAAGTTGAACCACTGTTAGGTACATTATCTATATCCTGTATTTGTGCATTGCAGTAAATTTTACCTGGACCTGTAGTGAGATTTGGCTGAAAGAGGCATCATCCTCATGCATTACTCATTCATAAAAGATGAGTGAGGAAACAGAAGAGTAGTCTCTTCCTGTTCACCTGGTTAGTATGTCACAACAGTCTTGCTCTCTCCCAGCCAGGAGTGAGTACAACTCCTTTTAAAGGTGAACATTTCATACCCAGGATGAGGGGAGCAGCTGCCAGCCTGTGAGAACCAGAGGAGAGGGGCTTTGTTCTCTGGGGTTTGCTTGTCTTGTATGTCATGTATCTATCTTGTATGTCTGTGTCTGACTTGTATGTCATGTATCTTCTATGTCAGGTGTCTGTCCCAGTTTGCTTCCAGTTAAGTTGAAAGAGGAGAGCTGGGAAGGCCAGTTCAATGTGGATGAGAGGAAGAGAGGAACTTACTTTTCTTCTTTGATTTTATATATATATATATGAGACAAGAGTGATGGTATATTGAAAAATGTGGGATCTGAGCATGACATGAATGGTATGGAATAAGGGGTAGATACTGTTGTGGG